GCCCCCCGCCCCCCCCCCGCCCCGCGCCCCCCCCGCGGCCCCCCCCCCCCCCCCCCCCCCCCCCCCCCCCCCCCCCCCAGGGGAAGCTTCAGGGACAATAGAAGCTCAACAAGCTCTATTAGATGCTTGCTGGCTCTGGGACGGGCTGAAAGTAAAAGAGGAGGAGGTAGGACTCCGTATCACATACAGCTGGCACCTGCGTTCTTGGGGCGCCTAGGCGGTGACTGGCCGCTGTCGCTGCCACCAGGGCTTGTAGTTGTTGTTGTCGTTCGCAAGCTGGACGTGTTCGTGTTCGCGTTCGTGTTCCGCATCAAGTTTGTTGCGGCGGCGGCACGCGCCGATGATAATCGCCAATTTACCGGCGAGGGCTCGGCCGATTCCACCTCGCTGCTGTCCCGGAAACGGAGCCGGTTCTGGCTGGTCATTGTGGTAGTGGGTATGGTAGTAGGACTTAAAACCGGCTCCTCCTTCTCTACCGGTTCCGGGTTTCGGACAGGCCGCGTAGCTGCCCGTCGCGGTTCTGCGATATCCGACTCTACGGGCGATACCGGAGAGGTTGGCGAAACGGGCGAAATGGGCTCTGGCGGAGGCGCCGGTGATACTGTGACTGGTGCGCTCGGTACTGTTGGCGTTGGCGTTGGCGTCTCTCTGGGAAGCGACGGTGCGGGGGAGAGGATAGGACTAAGGAGAGCTTTCTGATCCTCTTCTTTGGCTTTTTCTTTCCCTTTACTGTTGTTGCTGCCTACTCTAATAAGCCGCACACTTGTTGCGCTCTTGATGCTATTATCCTTCTGCAGCCTGAAGCTCGCGGGCGAAACACCGTACACATCGCCGCTGACAGACACCCCGCCGTCGTTATTGCTATTGCTACTGCTGTACGCGCTCTTCGCAAAGCCGATCTCGCCTGGGATCTCCTCGTTGGTCTTCTTCCGCAGGAACGGACTCAGGCCCAAGTCCGGAAGCTTGAACTTGTCCATCGGGTAGCCGGTCCCGCCGCCAAAGGGCGTAAAACGCGGGGTCCCTATCGTCCCGCGTACCGCGATCGGCTTCTCGTACTTGTCGTACTGGCTCTCGTTGTGGTTTACTGCTGCTGCGGCTAGCGGCTGCCGCTCGCGTCTTCTCTTCCGTCGGTAGCGCACAACGAAGTACGAAGCTATGGCTGTCAATATAGCCGTGCCGACCACCGACACAGTCACTATGATGGCGAGGTTGGTGCCTGAAATCGAGTCGGATTGTACTTGCGATACGGCAGGATTCACATCGGTCTATTGTGCCATGTCAGCTTAAAAAAATACCTAATAATAGTATGTATGCATGTGTGTATGTCGGCGAAAGCGAACGAGATAAGAGCCTACCCTGACGCCGCTTGCACCGGCCCTCGCCTCCTGGATTTTGCTTGCGGCTATGTTGACCGCGCTCGCCGCGCTCGAGCTTGCCTCTGCCCGCGCGGCGCTGATCATGCTGCTGGCGCTGCTCTGGACGCTAGCCAAGTTGGACGAGATCCGGCTGCTCATGCTCGCCAGCGACCGCGCGAGGTCGTCGCTCGCGCGCGCGCTCGCCGCGGAGACGGCGCTGGCGGCCGACGACTGCGTCTGCGCCAGCTGCCGGCTGGCCTCGTCGGCGCTCTGGCTGGCGGCCCGGACCGCCTGGTCGGCCGACTGCTGCACGGACTGCGCGGATTGCGACGCGAGGCTCATGGCTGAGGAGGCGCTGGACGATACGGATGATATCGCGCGGGTCGCGGATTCCGACAGCGATCGGAGCTGTTGGGAGAGCGCTTGGATTTGGCCATCGTCTTGGCGTTTCTGCGGCGGCGGTGGCGGTGGTGGTGTAGGTTGAGGTATTATCAAAGCCGGAGCTGCCTGCTCTTTGGGACTTCTTCTCCTCTGTGTGGCTTCTGGTATCTCTTCTATTATAAGTCTCTTAATTTCCTTATCCTCTTCGACAACGGCACGGTAGAAGCAATTCTTTCTGAATAATGATTCTTCTCCTCGTGGCACTCGAGCCACTCGATGTGATGTTAACTCCACATGTCCCCTAGCATGCTCGTTAGCCCATATCCCTATCGTGCCCAGCGCGATGAGTAGAGAGCACCGCAAGAGCCCGCTCTGCAGCATTGTTCACGAGTCCATAACGAGTGACTTGGACTAGTGCCTGTCGCTAAAACAATGTCATGGAGACGGAAAACCAATGCGAAAGAAGAGAGAGAGAGAGAGAAGAAGAACGGACGAAGTTGAAACCAAGGGCAAGGTCAAGGTCAAAGCACATATGACAGACAGCCTCTGGTAGCTAACAGCTCCGTCGTCCCCATCGTCCCCGTCTTTGTTCGTCTGAGCCTCCTACTCAGCTGCTAGGATTCCATCTTGCTAGGTTAATAACAGCGATAACTACCTAAGGTTTCATGCGAACAGCGGTTACCGAGCTGTTGGCGTTGAGTCCAGATGGAGGAGATGCGTGTGATGGAGCCCCCCTTGCAGGAACACTGGACCTGGAGCCAGGGTATGTGTGATCGCCTTGGTCAACCCAGTAAGTCTTCAAAGTAGCTTTTGGTCACATGTATGATCTACAATGAGAAACCACCAGAGACGATATCGACCAGATAAAATCTAGGATGTAGTATAGGTATAGGTATAAATCGCATTGATTTCATATTCGAGTTAGGCAAGCCGACGACATTTGCGCATCCGTGAGTGTAATATGTATTAGAAGTATTGCTTAGGATGTGTCTTATTGCCCAAACCCGAGCTCGGTAATAAGGTGACATTCCCGACGTTGAAGATCTGTTTGCGGTTGCGGTTTTGTTACTTGACTTTTTCCTACGTCGAATGAAATGTATCGAGAGTAAACAAATGTATGTATGATTGAACTTTGAACTTGATTACGGTTCTTGATCTTGATACCATCACCGATTATCCGAATCTCGCCCCGCCACCATATCATATGCAATATCTTAGTAGGTTAGGTACCTATGCGAGTGATATCTCCTAAGCCTAGCTTATTCAAGATTTTGTCACGTCGATAACGTGCTCGCATGCGAGTGGCACAGACGTTTGGAGATGCCTGCAGGGTATGCCCGGGCGTAACTGAAACGTATAAGTCGTCTCTTTGTCATCGGATGGCAGACACCCGAAGAGGTTCGGCAACAATTCCACCGCTCGCCTAGAGAAAGAACCAGGTAGTATAGGAAGCCAACCGGAAAGGTTCCTTTAGGAAGACGCGCGGAAGAGGACAAATGCACCTAAGTGAGCGACTCTCATGGGTTTCGACTTCGATGTGTAGATACTATTGTGTAGGTAGATGATAGACATGTGCTAACATCGACGAAAACTTGCCTGTCCACATAGACCTCTTCTCCTGTCTATGTGTCACTTTAATATTAAGTACTAAAGAATATTTAAGGTACCCAACGACCTGCTAGGTTAGGGTCATGACCAGGGATATCTATTAAATTCTTTTTTCTTTTTCGATTGAACCATGTTCGTTTTCAAGACGTACATGACAGCCAGTTGCTCTGTTCGCTAAGTCTCAACATCAAAATCCTCTCCAGGCCTGACCCAGAAGAATACCTATGTAATACATTCATCCATCCCATCCATTCATCCAGCAGCACTTCTCGGACTGAGGCCAATCTCCAAGCCATCAAAACACCTATGTAAATGCCAGTGTGTCCCGTTGGTATAGTTAATGGCCCATAGAATATCCGAATCTAGGTAATATCCTTGTGCTCCTTAAACGCCTATAACAAACAACATGTATGCCGCTACTCTCCCCTTCGATCGTCGCGGCGTCGGGTTTGGTACCTGCATCGAAACGTTTGATTTTCGTCAATACATCATCGCGTGTTCTCTCATGCCCTGGAAAATGACGTCCGCCATTGCTGGGAAAAGCGTTCCGCCTCTTTAGCACAGCTATGATCTCCGACATTAGAACAGTGGGCGAATACGACTGCGATATCGCCATCCTTGTACTGCTCCCCGTGACCGTTATTGTTGTAGGCGTTTATTATATGCTGAGGAACAATGACCAACTTTGACAAAATCGTTGGATGCCATTGGACGATATGTTCCTAGTGAGAGTTAGCACTCCTCTAATCCCGTCGAGAGGGAGTTTGGATACAATGGCGACTTACCAAGGCATGTGTTTCCGCCTTTTGGAAGTTGTAGCTTCGATATAACGGGTCAAACCAAGTGTCGAGGAAGAATTTGGCCCACTCGCCGTTTTTGATCACGAAACTGGTCGAAGACAGGCCTTCTTTATCCTGCGTAAGAACGAACTCGACATCATTTCCTTTCAGGTGGGAAAATGTCTTGATAATGCTGTCTGGGGGGACAACAGGAATATCCTTAAGCATGGTGGTTTCGAGTTTGCTGGCGCCCATGACGTAGTCTTCCACCTTCAGATGCGGATTCATAATAAGCGCGTTCTGATCGAGAAACCACATGTATTTACAATCGGGGTATTTGGTCATCGCATGGCGCATTGCTACAACCTTTGCCCAAGACGCAGGGGATCCCATGAGGTTGTAGTCGCTCGCTTTGGCGAGTAGTGTACCATACCCTATTCGACGATTAGACAACAGCCAGGGAATAACCAGACTATTCTGGAACCTCACCATGTTTCTCCGCATATTGCATTCTATTTTCCTTAATATTATTGATATACACTGAGTTGTCAATCTTATCATCGAACACGGTTACCAGCACAACTGGAGGCTTGCCGGATATCTTGCGATGCCCTGCGTGTTTCGAGCCACCGGAAAATACCCATATCAACCCGATAATTATTAGGGCAAAGAAAGCGATCGGCTTAAGTTGACTCCTCCTTATTCTCGGTATTCGGGTGGAACGAGGTAGGTAAGGTGGTGGGTTCGAACTTTTTCGAGGAGGATAAGCGTAATGCATCGTCAAGATCAATAGGGAGGGTATAGAGATATGTATATCCCTCTCCCGGAACTGCTGAAGAAAGGAAGGTAAAGTTAAGGTAGTCGAGTGGCTTGGAGATTCAAAGGGAATAATTAGGAACGGCGCGTTATGTCTCGTTTACGTCTCGTCTTCTGTACCCGATTGTGCGATTCGGCGTGATACGATATAATGGTTGCGGATGATATGACGACAGATCAATTCACGCAATCCAAACAATTATACCCTTTCGGCTACCTAGGAAAATAGGAAAATAGGTAAATAAGTAAATAGCGAGCGATTGAGCCAAAAGGCGGGCAATTTCGCCCAAATGAGTAGACGTGAGGGACGTGGCCGCTCTGGCGCAATCGGAGCCGAGACTCGAGAGAAGTGATGAAGGGGTGAATTACAAAATTAAAACAAATAAAAAAGAGAGAGAGAGACGAGATAACGACAAGGTGCTGGAAATTATTAACCTAGGGATTTTCGCAATTTGGATAGGCAATGGGGTTCCCGTCGCATCAGGCTAACTTTTAGATGTTATCAATTTCAAGCTTAATTTAGCTATTATTTTACGCATACATAGTAGAGTAGCCGCTGTAATTCTGACATGTCGCAAAAAAACCATGTTGCAACTCAGCTCATCGCCAGATTGCATTTGTCCGACTTTTTTTTGGCTGCACTTTTTTTAATTCAACTTTAGCGTAGTACCTTAGGTATTGTTACCTGTAATTGGAACGGCCTGGAACCCCTGTTTTTTTGGGGATTGGATAAAGCTGAGCTAAGCCTGGGATTAGCGTCCCTTGTGTGCTTACCTAACATAAAGCCTTGCAATTGTACTACCTACCTTGTACGATTTAGATATAGTACAGACGTACTCGTAGATAATGCTTCATCTCCATAGTACAAATGCAATCTGGCAGCATACACAAATTACTTAGGTAAATAAATGCACACTTATCATCAAACAGTGAATTGCGATGGAAATACTTAGGTAGAAAGAAACCCCATTGAAGAATTAGAATAAAATGTATCGGAAATAGCCAGGTCACCCCTTTATATAAACAAGACCAGAGATGGAATAAAAAAGGGTAAACCGCATCGACACGACTCAAAAAGAGCCAACGACGCGAGGCTGATTTTACGACGTCCTCGAACAAAAACTGCATGCGGGTAAAAGCAAGACGCTCGACCCATCAGATTGAAACAAGGTATCAATCTCTGCACACAGACTAGTTGACAGGATACGGGAGAGCGTTCTTCGAGGCAACTTAAGAGTGTGCATTGCGTGTATGAAAAACACGTTTGGTTCAGCTTCTTCTTTTTTTCCCTTCTGGTGAAAGTTTTAGTGAGCATATCACGTGACTTCATATCATGTGATATGGCCTGGCTCCACATTCATACACTGAAATACTATCACAATAAGACGGTGCTTAGACCAGGGCATCGCAATCATTACGACGAGTTCAAGCCAAGACGACTAGGTTAGATGGGTATAGGACGAATTTTGCAAAGGTGAATCAAGTCTTCGACCTAGGTTCGTAGAAGCATTATCACGTCATTTCTAACCCTGTGGAAACGAATCCATCATGAAACTATAGAATATCCGTTGCCGCATGACATTAGATAGTTGAACATATCTTGTCGGGAATGACTTCGTACTAGTAAATCATTATATTTGTCTACTTTTATGAAGACGAGTTGAAGAGATCGTTTCTAGTTCATCCCTAGCTTAGACTAATCTTCGTCATCACTGTCGTCAGAGCTATTGTCATTATTGTCGCGTTGGACATTTAGGATCCTCTGACTTGCCCGGTCAAGAGTTTTCTCGGTCCACTTTCGTGTGGCTTTCCACACCGTCTAAAATACCTGTCAGTAGAAGCTTAACGCGCCATTAAAACTTGCGACTTACATATAAGAATGTGAATACACCGATGAGGACGAGAGCTAAGTTGATACTTTCCATGCGCTCACGCCCAGTTCCAGCTCGACGACCACCTCCTCCGCCTATTATACCGCTGGTCCGTAAATTCCACCATTGCCACGGACTCATAACAAGGAATGCCTTGACGAACCCAAGCAAGCCTAGCGAGAAAAGCCCTTTGATAAAGTGACCAAACCAGCCCGATTCTTCATACAGCAGATCAAGGTCGTCGTCTAGACTGATATGACCAGTTGTGACCGACTCTGCTATAGTACCAACAGGATCAAGCCATAAATTGAGGATAGGGTCGGCTATAAACCCAAGCAGAAATATCGTAACGAGGAGGATGAGGATAGTGAGGCCTAGAGCTACGAGCGGGCTCCGGAGCCGTTGGGCCCACGTTAAACGTCCCATCCTATACTGGTAACGACATCGATCACACCTCCAAGCATTAGGGTTCTCGTTCATCCAGAGCTTCAAGCAACCTTCGTGGACGTATTTAACGCTGCCCTTACAGAGACATGGGTTGATAAGTCGGTCTCCATCCTCAGAGATGTAGTGCCTTTTCGGACGTCGATTACGAAGACCATCTAAGAAACCGGCTTCTTCATACGTCGCCTCTACTTCATCATGGCAAATCCAGCACATCCGAACATGCTTTCTTGACTCGTTGCGATTCGGAGCTGATTGTGATTCGGGTTGTGATCGGGGCCGCCGAGAATAATCGCTGCCAGTGGCAGTTCCGAACGACGATTGAGTGTCCATTGGTAGGTTGCAGGGGCAGTATCGGTAAGGTAAGCGATTTAGAGGTATCGGGTTGTTCGGTATGTCGTACTGAGATTAAAGAAAACGGAAAACAATGGAAGGAGACGGGAAACTAGTAAGCTACTATGGTTCGCAGTAACTTATGATACGTACGGCTAGGGTCAAGGTTCAAAAGGAAATAGAAAGGTAGGTCAATAGAGTGTCCTACTCAGATTCTCACTGTTATAATATACTGCAAATTCGAATAGAATCTGGAAGGATAGAATCGAGTACCATTGTTTGACGTATGTACGGATACAAAGGGCGTAGTAAGCCGAATAAAGGGTATTGATATGATACTGATGAAAAAGATCCTCGGGTACGAAAGGAGGCTGCAGTTAGGTACTAAAATGGAGGGCTGTGCTGTTGCATGTCGTTTGCATGTACGCCCGGTGGTGTGCAGGTGTTGGATTGTCAACCGTAACAACTGTTTGTTTTTTTTTTTTCCTTTTTTTTCCTCCGTCAAGTCAAATATTTAATGCTCCAGCTCTTCTTTCCGGGCACCAGTCTCGGAATCAGCATGCGGCATAGCTAAATCAAGCCAGCGTGTCATAGGAAGTTTGCAACCCAACTTCGGATGGTTGTGGTTATAAGGTAACTTTACCTCAAGTTTCGTTCTAGAAATTTCAACTTCATTTGGTGCATAGGTAATCGGAATTCAATTCAATTACTTAATTCAATTAAAGTTGAGAGCTCGATCTTCGGAGCCCAAATATTCCGACTTGAGTGTTCCGGGCCATCCCCCGTCGGGCATTTCATACAAACAAAAGCTCCCATTTGCTGTGCTGTTCGATTAGGTAAGGTTAGGGAGGTTAGGTACGGTGCGGGTTGCCCTGAAGCACTTCAGCACTTTAGCAAGTGCTAGGGACTAGGTAGGCTGATAGGTACCATTGTACCTACCTCTTAGGTTAGGTACTTCTATTGAACCTGAACTCTGACGCGCAAACCCGCGATGCCTAGCAATCAACTGTACCTAGCTCCCCACACACAGCTCAAGGTTCCTGTAGCCTCATCCATCTAATCCACCCATACCAGCTTTACACCACCATCACTACCACCGACGACACCACCAACACCACCGTGGATTTTCTAGTAATTCCCTCTCACATCGACCTTTCCCATATCGCCTTTCAATCATGGCCGACCGTTATTCCTTTTCCTTAACGACTTTCTCCCCAAGGTAAACACCCTTCTAATAAATATATCTATGTAACTTGCGACTGTTAACTAACTCCCAACAGCGGGAAACTAGTCCAGATTGGTATGCTATATATCCTACACGGCGCATGTTCACGGGTGCTTGGACTCCGAAGTAGTCTACGCTATGGTAGTGTTCACGACAATAACTAACGATACCGCTGGCTAGAGTATGCTCTGAACGCAGTTAACCAAGGTGTCACGGCCCTGGGCATCAAAGGTAAGAATTGAGGTCGTTTGAAGCGCCGATATGCACATTCGCTGACTATTGCAAGCGACAAATGGCATCGTCCTAGCGACCGAGAAGAAATCCTCTTCGCCTCTTGCCGACCCCTCCTCCTTGTCCAAGGTCAGCTTAATCACTCCCAACATCGGCATGGTCTACTCGGGCATGGGCCCGGATTACAGAGTGCTGGTAGACAAGGCACGCAAAGTTTCCCACACCGGATATAAGAGAATTTACAACGAGTACCCTCCCACCAGAATATTAGTGCAGGACGTTGCGCGAGTGATGCAAGAAGCTACGCAGTCTGGTGGTGTTCGACCATACGGTGTCAGTCTGCTCATTGCCGGATGGGATGAGGGTATTCTACCCGACGAGGAGTCTGCCGTCGAAGGCGAATTTGAAGGCGAGAAGAAGCCTTCGGGAAAGACCGGCGGAATTCTAAAGGGCGGCCCCATGCTTTACCAGGTTGATCCCTCTGGAAGTTATTTCCCTTGGAAGGCCACTGCCATCGGCAAGAGCGCAACGACGGCCAAGACGTTCTTGGAGAAGAGATACACAGAAGGTCTAGAGTTGGAAGATGCTGTACACATTGCGCTTCTAACTTTGAAAGAAACCATCGAGGGCGAGATGAACGGAGAGACCATCGAGATAGGTAAGTTATGACGAAGGTACCTAACCTAATTCAGGGGATATTACTAACCATTAGAAGGTATCGTTGGACCTCCCGCTGATCACCTACTCGGAGTGGAGGGTGTTCATGGCGCAACTGGTCCACGTTTCAGGAAGCTCACCCCGCAAGAAATTGAGGACTACCTAACAAATCTGTGAGCACCATCATTTCTGGAATTGGCAGGAGTTTGCGTGTATCATAGAGCAGCATAGAGAGTCCAATTATGGCAGAGTCAAGGGATTCAATACTTAGCCAATATGAATGAGGTGCTTCGCCCTGCTTCTACACCGCAGACTACTTGTCCCGCTTCTAAACGCAACGGGACCCTCGTCCACGAATATACTTTGCTATCTGGTAAACCTAGCTGACCGTTGCCGTTATCACCAATGACATATACATGGCCTTCCGAGCTAAGTACAATTACATGTGATTCCCCAACCCCGCAATCGAATATATCGCTTTCTTCTACTAGCACAGGTGTCGGGCTACTTGATATATCTTCAAGGACCGATTCCTGCCCTGGGCGGCCACCCCATGCGTAGAGATCGTGCCCTTCCGTCAGCGCAAGAACCAAATATCCAGCTGCGCTTATCTTTTTTATCTTGCCTGTTGGCAAGTCCTCAAGCTCTTCTACAAGGCCAGGCCTTTCGGCTGGGCTGATGTGCGATATTAGCTTTATTACCTCAAGAAAAAAAAAGATAAGGATCTCTCTACCTTGAGGGCGTTACTGGTCTTCCAAGACAAGCGCTATACCGCTCGTCGCCCCATGTCCAGACATGGCCGCCGTGCGATAAAGCCACGAAGCCCGTTTCGTATGCTGCTAGTTGTGCAATATTTCCCAACCCAGAAAACGACTGTTGTTCACGTGTACCAGTAGATGAATATTGACGGATGGTGCCATGGCCGTCATATTCTTTAGACAACTGTTTTGTTAGTGATGTTCAGGGGGTTATCTTCTACAGTCCAATAACAACGTGCCTGCTACGGTGCCATTCCAAGCTACGGCAGCCGTGGATGAGAGAAGCTTCTCTTTAAGCCTTTCCGAAATATCCTCCATGAAGCCTGCATTCCGTATACCGGCGGATGCCGTTTTGACTTATTTGCATTAGTTAGTATATGGGAGCGCTTAAGCTTGTGTAAGAGAACGCTGACCGAAGGTGCACGATAGCAGAGAGCATGGACATCCGATGAAATCGTCTTTTAGGATGGATTGGAATGAACTGAGATCGCGAGGTTCGTCGGAATTATCATTATCTCGCTTATTGTCGAACTGTAGTTGACGCCAGGCATTGAAACCGGTAGCGAAGAGTTCCATTATTGCATGTATAAATCGTGTAAGTTGCAACGTGTGAATAGAAGAGATACGCACATGTAGGCACCTAGTACAGGTATTGCATGTTTTGTCTCAGTTGGGTACTTACATACCTGTAACCTTAAGTATACCTAAGCTTATAAGTGCAAATGATTGGACGATAAGACAATCCATCTAGCGGGAGAAGACAGTGTGAATAAGGATATTTCTTTTTGCGCACTTTACGTCTTCACCAATTACAATGTTTACAATACCTAAAGTAGTGTTACTTTACAAGCTGCAACTTCGCAACCTGCGCAACACAACATATGCGTCCCTCCTCTCAAAGCGCGGTAGCCTTGCCGACTCGGAGCTCGTGATGCTAGGCAGCAATATCTGACGTCTCTGCCCGACGCATGAAATTGACGTGTCGTATACAAGCAAACAAAAATATATCAATTTACAAATTTTTTTTTTTTGCAAACGATGCTAGACTTTGCAACCTATATCTGGGCAGGAAGCTTCCGAGTAACAAGCGAACGATACCAAGCGGCGGTATACGATAAACTCTCAACGAGATTAAGTTTAATTCAATTGCGTATTTTTCACAACGCTAAATGGCTCAACCTGAGGTAGTGTCATCGGTATGTTCCGTAGACTTAATCACAGACAATCTTAGTGATAGCGATGACGATACTGTGGTCTCGAAGAGCCACATGAAACCTCAACTCGCAATTACCGAAGAGTTGGAGGCGATTGCTGGTACTATCGATATTAAGGATGAGGTTCAAGCTAAGGACTCGGGCGTTATCCATGCCCGTGAATACCAGCTTGAGATGTTCGAGGAAAGCCTCAAACGTAACATTATTGTTGCAGTAGGTAGATACCGTCGTTATATCTGCTGCGCGTCTTAGACTTACTTACCTATTTCCCTAGATGGACACAGGAACTGGAAAAACTCAGGTGTACGTATATAGAATACCATCACTGCACTTGAGACCCATGTCGTACCTATCATGTGGCATGGTCTAAAGCTGACTCCATGTCTTACGCCGTTTGGTATACATACTTACCATGTTCCAGGGCCGTTCTCAGAATCCAAGCAGAACTGGAAAAGTCTGCCCCTGATAAAGCCAGTATAGTCGCCTCGTCACTAGTTTGTATATATAGCTGACTTTGATAGCTTGTCTGGTTTTTGACCCCTACCGTCTCTCTATGCGAGCAGCAAGCTCGCGTGCTCAGGACCCAGATTCCAGCTGTGCAGACCAAGATTCTCGTTGGCACAGACGGCCCAGAGACCTGGTCCAACGTTCGTATATGGGATGACTATCTAAGGAATGTTCGGATAGTCGTTTCGACTTATCAAGTTCTCCTGGACGCCGTCAACCATGCATTCGTGCGTATGAATCGGCTTTCTCTAATCGTTTTCGACGAAGGTTAGTAGCTAGGCGCTACCCCCCCTTCTTTATTTATTTAACAGTAAAGCATTGATCTAATGCAAACAGCCCACAACTGTCGCGGTAAACACGCCGGTGCTAAAATCATGGACCGATACCGTGATAGTAAAAACGCTGGCCTGCCAATTCCGTCGATACTCGGTCTTACGGCGAGTCCGATCGTAAGTTCAAAGCTCGACACTCTAGAAAAAATAGAGCAGACGCTGGATGCCGTTTGTAAGAGCCCAAGCATCCATCGAGATGAGCTCTTGTCTGTCGTAAAGCGACCAACTATGACCCATGTTTTCTATACTCAGCCGGATGAGGACGACTTTCCTCTAACTAATACCATGAAAAGTTTGGCTGGTGTATACTACAGCCTGGATATAAACGAGGATCCATATATTGTTCGACTGCGGAGGGACAAGAGGGAGCGAAGTCAGGTGGAGCTTGAGAAAGCTCTTAGAAACAAAGATACGTACGTCTTTAGCCAGATGCAATCCCTTTGGCGGAAAAGTGTCACGATCCACAGAGAACTCGGAAACTGGGCTGCAGATTACTTCATTTCCACCTCCATCGCCCAGTTTCTAAAGCTGATGAAGGAAAATGATTTGTTTTTCCAGGGGTGGGATACCCAGGAGAAACAATACCTTGCGAATGCGTTGAAAAATGTCAAAGCATCAACACCGCCACCATTCGAGTACGGTATGTCTAATAATATATCGGACAAGGTCGCAGCACTTATTCGGGAACTATCTCATGCGGACGATGGAACTATCGGCATCGTATTTGTTCGTGAGATCGCCACAGTAACTATGCTGTCACATATCCTATCAATTCATCCGTTAGTAAAAGATCGCTTTCGGGTCGGTACTATGATTGGTACGAGCAATCACTTCAGCCAAAAGCGAGACGTCGGTGTCCCAAATAAAACCGAATACACTCAAAATCTCAAGGATTTCCAAGATGGGAAGCTCGACCTTCTCATAGCTACGAGTGTCCTCGAAGAGGGTATCGATGTCCCGGCTTGCAACATGGTCATTTGCTTCGACACACCAGCTAACCTCAAGACCTTTATCCAGAGACGTGGCAGAGCTCGGATGAGAGATTCAAAATTGATTCTGTTAGCAAGCCAAATCACAACCCAGGTCGAACAGTGGATGGCGCTTGAAGAGGAAATGAAGAGACGCTACGAAGAAGATATAAGAACTGCGCAACTCGAAGAAATGGAAGAACCTGCGGTCGAGTCTTTCTATATACCAGAGACTGGAGCCCATCTCGACTTCGATCAAGCGAAGTCACACTTGGAACACTTTTGCAGGAAGCTTTCGGTGCACCAGTACGCTGATACGCGGCCATACTATATCTTCAAGCGAACACCTAGCCCGCTTGGGGAGGCACCGCAAGTATCGGCAACAGTAGTCCTACCGATGTCGTTACCGCCGGAGCTTCGGCGGGTGGAGAGTACAGGCCTCTGGTTCACTGAGAAAAATGCCAGCAAAGACGCCGCCTTTATAGCTTATAAGGCTATCTACGATGCTGGTTTCCTTAATAATAACCTCATGCCACTTCAAACCGAGTTCAAAGAGGAAATCGAGTCAAGGGACTCAATAATAGAAGCAAGCGAGCAATGGGATCCCTGGACACAGATCGCACGTGTTTGGGGTAACAGTGAGGAGTTTTACCAGCGCAGGTTACGTTTGGTGAACCAGCATGGCAGCGTATTGTGTGAAATTGACGCGACATTGCCAGTACCCTTCCCAAGCTTATCAAATATCAATATCTTCTGGGACAAGTACAGCCATTGGAAGATCGAATTGGGTCCGACTAAGGTTGTACCCGCCGAAGCCCTCCAAGCAGATCAAAGTACAGCATTACTAGACCTAGCATTTCGGCATCGTAAGTGGGAATCTAGAGACAATGCACGACCGGTCCTGCACCTTCGATCCCCAACACAGGATATCCCATTAGGTGAGCTTGTGGGCCAGAAGAGTGTTGAAGAGAGTGTTGAAGAGTCTTGTCTTGATGGCACAAGACTGATACGTGTCGGCGGAGCTCTCTATTCATACAAAGAGTTATTGCCTCGTCTTGATCCGGACTTAATAGTAAGGGAGCAATATATGAATGAACCAGTTGATATCCCTTGGCTGGTGGTGGATACGTGGATTAAACGAAAAGACTTTCTTCACGACTTTCCCGGAAAGCCTTCAACAGCTTCTTCGAAACCAACTCACAGAATTTATCCTACGCGCGTTTGCCGGGTGGATGGGATTCATGTATCCTATGTTCACTTTGGCATGCTCATTCCTTCGATCGTACACATGATAGAGATTTACTTGATTGCTACCGAATTATGCAATACCGTACTGAAAGACGTTGGTTTCTCCGACATCTCGCTAGTCATTACTGCTATTAGTGCACCGTCGGCCCGAGAAGGGACGAACTACGAAAGGTTTGAGTTTCTTGGCGACTCACTCCTGAAAATGCTTACCACTGTTACTATAGCTGCTAATAGTACGTCGCTCTATCCTGTACTAGATATAAAACTGCGTTGATGCTAATCTTTTACAGAACGACATTACACAGAAGGGTATCTCGACGCTATGAAAGCGAGCAAAGTGTCCAATGGCAGGTTGTGCCGTTCAGCGACAGAGACCGGTTTAGATAAGTTCATTCTCACAAAGGAGTTCACGGGTTCGAAGTGGAAACCTCTCTATGCAGAGGACATGGTTGCAGCAGATGCAAGTATGAGTAGCAAACGAGAAATGTCGACGAAAACACTTGCAGATGCGGTGGAGGCCTTGATTGGAGCTGCGTACCTGGACGGTGGGATAGACAAAGCGCTCGCCTGTATCCGGGTATTCGTCCCTGAGGTAGAATGGCGCAGTTGGGATTCAGCTCGCGATGAGCTGTCTAGCCAGACTACTATGGGCACGTTTCTTCCACCCCCTTTGGCTCCCCTGGAAGAGCTGATAGGGTATTCCTTCCGTAACAAGAACTTACTTATTGAAGCTGCTACACATTCTTCCTTCGGATACATGAATTCGACGGGGAACTGTATGGAGCGCCTTGAATTTATTGGCGACTCCATCCTGGACACTGTGGTTGTTGACGCCATATGGGATTTCGAACGCGAGATGAACCAGTATGAAATGCATATTAATCGTATGGCTTGTATCAACGGACATCTCCTGGGCTTCCTATGCATGGAGTGGAGCGTGGAGCAGGAGACTACGATTATCTCGGAAGACACATCTACTATCGAGACAAAAACTAAAATTCCATTCTGGAAATTCATGTGCCACTCGTCGCTGGAAATGAGCATTGTTCAGCGAGACGCAGAGGAGAGATACGAAAAGGAGCGGGAGGCTATTCTTGAGGCTATCGATCACGGGAAGGAATATCCCTGGGTACAGCTCTACCACCTCCATATCCCGAAGTTCTTCTCGGATTTCTTCGAGAGCGTGATTGGCGCCGTGTGGGTAGACTCGGGGTCACTGGACGTGTGCAGGCACGTCGTCGAGAGGACGGGCGTGCTATCGTATCTCCGGCGCATACTGGAGGAAAAAGTCGACGTTATAAGCCCGAAAAACCATCTCGGCCACGAAGTTGGTATGCTTCCAAAGCGCACGCAAGCCAAGTACCTGACAGAGGCGCGTAAACTTTCGAACGGGGATAGGGAACTGACCTGCAAGGTGGTGGTTGGCGACGAGGTTCTTGCAGAGGTCGAAGACGGGGTCACTACCGAGGAGGTGCAGACGAGGGCAGCATACGTGGCGTATAAGATCCTCAGGGAGCGTAGAGAGGCTAGGAAAGTGCAAGAGGAGGAACAAGGCGGAGTGGATGCTTTGATTGATGAGGAGATGAGTGATTGGCCCCAAGATGATGACGAACGAACGAATGAATGAACGAACGAATGAATAAGCAATTTTCAGCTAGTTAGCGATAGCGATGCACTATGGTCCATCAAGTTAAATACTAGAATGCGTTGACTTATGAATCTCCTATGATGAACGAGCTTACTTTGGTAGGACGTGTTTATACGTGAGCACCGATGTTGTACACAGGCAAGGTTTAATATAGCGGCAGAGAATTAAGCGTACCTAACTACTTTAGCTGCGATGTACAAAGTATGCCTCGTGCAAAAGAGATGATATCAGAAGAATTCATAAGAATTCCTAAGCTACCTCCTTTTAATGGTATCTCTTATCACTCAAACGACCAATTGCACTAACTATTTGGATAGTAAGCTTTGATTTGCCCCTATTCCGCCCTGGGCATACTAATAACTCCTTTTGCAATGCGTTGCCAAACTGCCGACGGATTAATTGCAAACTTGCGCCCCTGAAACCTGCCAAATGCCTTGCTTTGCCTTGCCTTGCCAAATCATTTTCTCATCCATCCATGCATCCATCCTATTGTAACACCGCGGTAGACAGACCACCATAATAGGTACCGAAAAAGAAAACTTGTAATGTTAGGTTAGGTATCTAAGGGACGTAGTCCAAGTCCTTGGCGTCGTCGGCATAGTGCTCTTGGATGCCTTCGAAGGCTATGTTGATCTGCTCGTGATCGATGAGGTCTTCTTCATCAACTTCGTATTCACCGTCGGAGTTGACGTAGCGACGGCCAGTGTAGTCTTCAGCGGGAGCGGCGTTGTCATCGTCGTCATCGTCATCAAGGATTTCGATAACTTCATTGCCTTGCTCGTTGTAGGTCACGGTGTAGTGGGCTGAGTGGGGAGGGAGGAGCATCTCGTCGTCTTCGTCGTCGCCATCGTCTTCGTCTTCTTCTTCTTCTTCGTCCTCTGACTCCTCCATCGTAGAGTCCGACTCTCGGTTCGAGTGCTCCGACTCAGAGGGGTTGCCGAAGAATGATATTGGCGAGGCGGCGCCCGAGGGGTCGGCCATCAAGGGTGCCGGCGTCGGCGCGAAGTTGTGGTGGACCGGCGATGAGTCGCCGGTTCCGGGGCCGTGGAAGCGGAACATGGCCTGCACTTCCTCACTCGCCTCCTCCACGACAGGCACCTGCACGGCGGGCTTGATTCTTTTGCTGACCAGTTTTTCTGCGAGGAAAAGGATTGGTTAGTTAGTTAGTTCAGTTGATTAGTTGGTAAGAGAGGTGGCGATGAGAGATGGGCGACGTTGGGACTGCAATGTGAGCATGGACTGACTTACCAGAAGAGCGATACAGAAAGAAGTACCAGCCGACGGGTCCTCGTTCCTTAGGGAGGAGGGTGCACTCGGAGTGCATAGGGGTGCTGATCATCCGGACCGGCTCCGTGTATCTTTGAGTCAAGATGTTAGCTAACTTCTAGATACTTCATCCAACCTAAACTCTCTCCGAAGTTGGGACCTTTCACGATAATAGCATAACAATAATAGGGATGAGGGACGAATGAACGAATCTATCTTACTTGGTTCGATGAGTGAGGTCCAATTTATCAAACGCGTCCTGCAAGACTCGGCTATCAGGAGGGTTCTTGTCTTGAGGAAGCGGATACTGATTAGCCGGCTGTCCTTCGAGGCCGCGGCAGACTCGGACCTCGATGACGCCTATATCGTCGATCTGGTCGAGGTCCGAGATGTAGGAGTCGGGGCCGTCAAGGTCCATGGCATCGCCATCGACTTGTGTTTGGTTAGTCTTTTACCCTTGGCAGTTAAGTTCGTATTACTACTACATGGGGATCATAGAACTTACCACCCGCGAGTCTGGCGAAGCGAAAGGACTGCTTAGCGAAGTTACCAAGGTCGTCTTTGGTGATACGGTAGTTGATAAGGCGGTCCCAGTCGCCGCTTTCGCCCCCAAGCTGCCAGCAGTATTCGCTCTTGACCCAGTTGCCGTCGATGTAAAGAGAGAAGTAGAGGCAGTGGTCCTCGAAGTCCCAGTCGTAATCCTCGCTGACCTTGAGAGAGATGAGGAACGTGCCGTCGTCGACGCACTCGATGAACTTCATAGATGTGTTCGCCGGGCTGACGGACATATCGTCTTCGTCGGTCACGTCGTATATGCCCCAGGCTTCGTACTCGGTCGCCGCTTCGCCGTTGACACGGACGGTAACCTCGACCTCGGGAATTACCGAGAGGACTGCCATTGCGAATGGATGAGTTGCTTAACTTGTCTTGCCTAGAGATGAGCTTAAGGGTATTGATGTGTCTGTCACAGTGATATGGCAGTGATATGATAAAGCTATCACAATACAGCAAGTGAGTAGAGATAGAGAGAGATAGAAAGAGAGGGCAGCGATAGTGCCTAGGAGGAGAAAAGGGAACGGGGGAGAGGGAAGCAGACTGTCTTGACACTACTTCGTAGGAGAGGTAGAGAGCAGAATGTGGGAAGAAGAATTAATGGAATTGAGGCACAATTAAATAGTTTGTAGAGTAAGAGGGATCAGGTAGCAGCCCGCGTGGGTTGGGAGTTCGTAGCAGTCACAACAGCTCTCAGATCGGTAGGTACCTGGCACTAACACGGAGGAGAATGTTTATGTAGACTACCTCTCCTATGTATTTGGACCAGCTCTACACACTTCCAAACCCGGTCTTTACGTTGAGGCTAATCTAGAAATTTACAGTCTTGTCATACGGAGTTACAATATTCAATATATTAGTTTTCTAGTCTTCTATACACTTATACTGAGGATGATGATATGCCATCAGCTGCTTGTAGGTACTTAGGGGTAAGGGGTTTTGAAGGTATACCGGTACGGTACCGATACCGATAGCATATTTCGTTGCTAGGCATTTACGCCGATAAGGATAGAGATATGAGGCCCGATAGATTAGGTAGGTACCTCATTGTCTGCTGTAAGTTGTAGTGTTGAGGCGTTGCGCGGCAGGAGCAGAAGGTACGACCCGTTTGATTGGTCGATTTAGTAAGGTAAGTACGGCCAGGTACGGCAGGAACGGGGAGGTACGTACTTAGATACGGATCCGTACCTACCTCTTAATGGGGAAAGAACGTAAGAGGCCACTGCAGGTGCGTGTTTGCTCGGTCAGTACGTATCAGTCGTACCTACCTGTCTACGTCCCTCCCCTAACTCCTAGGTACTTAGGTACCTCTAACCATTTTATTTTCGGCACCAAGTTTTACCATAACCGACATCTGCCTGAGCTTAGGTGAGCCTGCAGGGGGTCAGTTTGAATGCATGGATGTATCCACGTACCGCTGATCTAACCTTGAATCTCACTTGAATCTACCTTGACCAAGTACTTGATCCAATACTGAACAGCCATTGACGCATCATTTACACCTACCATCCCTGAGGTTCGGCTCTGTTAACCGCATTCCTGTCCAAAACTTGTCGCGACTTCGTGAATTGCTTTTTCTTTTCCATTCTGCCAACTTAATTGATTTTACTGTTTACTTCCAATTCAATCAGAGACCTATTTTGCTCAATGCTTTCAGTTTAATATAATAGATCCGACGTTACGAAGTACCATATTAACTCCTTCTAACACCAATTCGTTGTTCGTTGTTCGTCGTGAGCTCGAGCTTCCTCTCTGCTTCACTCTGTCCATCTTACCATTTTCAATATTGTTGTTCCCTTTTCTCCCCTCCGGAGCTTGTGATAATCTAGCTCTTCTACTCCTTAGAGCTACCCGCCTTTCATTCTTAGTCATATGACGACGACAATGCCGTCCTTTACATGAATTCTCTCCTCCAATTGGAAGGAGTGCCATCATGCCGCCTGAAGGAGGATCAAGTAATATTCGAGTATTTATAACCTGGGATGACCAGACTGTTTTCGCTGGCGAGGATATCAAGTGCCATATAACTTTCAAGAATATCGCTCCTGGTCCGAACCAGCCGCCATCGACCCAACAGCAACAGACACAGTATACCCTTACCGATCGATCGAGACAACCGTCCCCTCTACTAAGTCCGAGATCGAAGCCCAATAATGGATTGACACCTCCCACGCCCACGAGGGGACACCGTTCTACTCTATCCCTCACCGTTCCCTCAAACAGTTCGCGATTAAGAGGACCACCACAACAGTGGACCCCTCCACAGCAACAACCCCCACCCCAACAACCTGGCCACGCCCACAAACGATCTCTCTCTATCGTGTCGATAGGATCGGCTGCTACGATAGAAGAACAGTCACACGGGAATATATCTCCAGCGCGACAGCAGAGGCCTGCCCGTGGCCATGGACGGTCTGCTAGTTTGCAGATATCACCGAGGGGAGGGCTGATGAACGGTCCGCAGTCAGCCGCATTGCCGAGGCGACCCTTTGGTTCCGAATCTTCGCCTGTATTCAATCACTCATTCCCCCCGTTGAAATATGGCTTCAGTCGCACGTCGGGGGTTTCGACTGTGCCAAACACGCCCGGTGTTATGGGTTCACATCTACCTAAGAGGAGCCCGGGCATAATTCCAGATTTTAAATTTCCGTTGGCACCCTCGCCGAAGCCCCTAGATGCCGGTTCTATTTCGCCCACTACGCAACCGGTGGATTACTTGACGGCACCGTTATCAGCGCCAAGCGGAGGTGTAAGCCTCCCCTTGCGCTCAAAAGATCCAATACCTACCATTACCGAACAAGCCGCCCCAGTGGCGCGGATATTATCTACGACGAGCATTGCTGGTGGAACTCCTAGGAGTAGTGGCGAGTTCTATTCACTCAGCAACAACTCGTCTGAGACGCTGGCATCGGAGTATGTAACGCAACCGTTATATCTCGGAAGGAGACCTGCTCACATACGGCGGCCCTCCGCTTTATCGAATGTCAGCAATGCGCGGCTTCCAGAATCGCTAATGATGGGCTTTGCTCAAGTTCAGGGTTCCTTCACTCTCGACGGATCGCTTATTAACTTGGGGCCCTTCGAGGCGGTTAAGCGAAAGGCTGTCCTAGGGGGGCAGGGAGGTGGTGTTATTGGCATCGAGAACTCTAGAAGGGGTAGCGGTGGACTACTAAATGGGTTTGGTTGGAGTAGTTTGGGAAGCTCTATCGGGGAGCTTTTGGGCGGTGGAGAGCTTAGCAGCATTAAGCAGATGCGAGGTGTTGTAAGCTCCAAATCCATCCCGCTGCTATCGACGCCACAATCGATCTTGTTCGTAGATTTACAGCTTGCTCCTGGAGAGAGCAAGACCTACGAATATACGTTCAAACTACCGAAAGGCCTACCCCCAACACACAGGGGGAAGGCGATTAAGATATCATATAGCCTAGTAATAGGTACCCAGAGGCCGGGCGGCACTAGGGAACAGCAGGTACGATCAGTCGAGATCCCTTTTCGCGTTCTCGGCAGTGTCAATAGTCATGGCGAGATTCTTGGTCATGATCTACTTAACCCGTACATTATCCTTCGCGACTTGGCCAAAGTGCAGCCACTTGACCAAGCCCCTATTCATTCGAATAAGACCAGGCCTCGGCATCCGGAGTCAACGTACGATGGATTTCTCCACTATGTCGACGAACTCCTGGATCGGCCTCAACGAGGCCTCGGCCTTTTGTCCCCAACTGCTACGGCCCCTCAATCTCGTCGTGCTTCCGCTTATGAAGACTCGGCTACGGCAAAAGATGCGATAGACCTTGCTATCCTTCGATCAAACCTCTCTGAATCTGGTCAGAGCAGCAATCGCTTTGAAATAGCTCGGAACGGTCGGCGCGTAGGCGTCGTGATGCTTGCGCGCCCCGCGTACAAGCTTGGCGAGTCGGTTAGTATGGCGATTGACTTCACCGGAGCTGAGATTCCTTGCTATGCTATACATGCGGCCCTCGAAACCGCAGAGCGCGTCGAACCAACACTGGCTATGCGCAGTGAGGCTAGCGTGCACAGAGTTACCCGTAAAGTATACGGCAGCTCGAGCGAAGCGACATTGTTCGCACGACGCTTTGTCTTCAATCCTACGATCCCCATCGGCGCGACCCCCGAGTTCGTCACCAGCGGTCTGAGCCTGGAGTGGAAGATACGAATAGAGTTTGTCGTTCCCTCGTCAAGCAAAGACCGGGACATAGATTTCGCGGAGGGCGACGGCCCGCACCCTTTACTCGAAGAAATCTCGCGTGACGACCGTGGTGGTCTCGTGCTCGTCGCCGCGGAGACACTGGATTGCGAGAGCTTCGAAGTCGCTGTTCCACTGAGGGTCTACGGCGCTGTGTGTAATGGCCTCGAGCGGCTGGAAAGGGACCAGTCGGAGGAAGGACTCGCGGTATAGTGTAATTTGCTACCTGCATCACTTGCTAACTGCATTGAGACGACGAAAAATGAAAACAAAAGGCGGCACTGGGGTCATGTCACATGTATAGGTACACACTACGCGCATGTCGGCTATCTTTCTTTCTATCTATCTAGGTGTCTAGTGTATGGATTAGAAAAAGCAGTTAAAAGCAAGGCAAGCAAGCAAGATGAACGAAAATAATGAAAGGGAGCAGCGGGATGAAGGGAGGGGAGGCAACGTAACGCAACGCAACATGATGAGCTGGAAATAATTTCAGGAATAGCAAGGACGAGGACGAGGACGAGGATGACACGGAGAAGAGAAGAACAAGAAAGATGAACCGCCTATTCTTATACGCCTTTTGCTTTTTTTCGAAGGACACCTCTGTCCAGATCTAGGCCTAGGTCCAGGTCCGAGTTGGATAAAATAGATGTGATGAAGTTACGCGGTATCGAGTAGAGACGGGTACGAAAAAGAGAAGAGGATCAACAGGAGAAGAAGGAGGAGGAGGAGGAGGAGAAGGAAGGGGGCGAGTAAATAGGTAGGAGCGTACCTAAGGTACCTATAGCCTATTGTCGGTTCTGCTTGCTGATGGAAGGTAATCGATATGGAAAGCCCCCTTGTTGAAAAACTACATGTATTTGTATTATATTAACTATGCCATACCATACCGATAACTTCTATATCGAACAGCGCGTCGTTGTTGTATATTGGTGGATTTTCATGGTCTTCTGTTCGTCTTCCGTGGCCTCTACTTACTTCCTACCATGATATGACTGGTAGGGATGGAGTGAACGTTCAAGTTCAATTCCACCAAGCTTCGTATAGATGGAAAAGAAGACTACAATTAGTGTATACCTTTGGAGGTACCTAGGCATTTAAAATTCAATTGATGCGTCTAAACAAAGCAACTTCATCTCTCAAGCGCGAAAACCATACCTAGTAGCTCTCTCTTCCCCTTCCCTTCCCCTCCCGAGTGCGTAGCCGCTATGCTATGCTATGCCTTATAAACTCCCGCATTGTCTTTTTCTCCTGCAAAGTGGTATCATGTTGGGCAAAGTCATTTTATGGGACTCGATAGGCAGGTAGAGAAACAGCAACAAACAAAAAAAAAAGAGTCCTCTCTTGATATCCCTATAGCGCCGCGCCGTCCCAGAATATCCATCCCCCCCCTTGGATGTTCTCCCGCAAAAATGAACGAACAAGACCTAACGCCTTTAGTCTCTGAAGACCACATTCTTTCGCAATCATTACACCCCCTGATGCTACGGAGTTTCCGATGCCGAAACAAAACTAATACACATAGTAAATAAACGTCTCGATTATGCCGAGCCGGCACTGGATTCCCCCCCAGACGAACCGGGTCGCTTTCCCGGTAAAATTCCTGGCGAGTCCGGCTCCTGGTCCGACGATCCCCTATAGCCGATTCGAAGCTTTTCGTCTAATAGAGCGACCAAGCGCTCCGAGTATTGGTCTAGGAGGCCGCTAAGCATAGTGTCGCTTAGGGCCTGGCTCCGCGTAGCTCTTTCGCCCAAAGCGACAGAGGTAAGGCGAAGCTCTTGATCTAATTCAGCTAACACCTCCTGGCTAATGGGATCTGTCGAAGCTAATTTCCGTCGGTAGGTGCGGAGTGCCCGGCACGTCTGTTCGGTAGCCATAGTGAGGGATCCGAAACCTCTCAAGTTATTGTTGCTCTTCGTTTTCGTAGAGTTGAGTGTTGGTAAAGATGGTTGTCTCTTTACCCTGGCCCTTGGGCTCGATGGAGGGCTACCACCCCGACTCTCCGCAGACGCTCGCCTGCTTGGAGTATCACTAGAAATTGCTAGTGTAGGACACGTCGGAGGTATAGCAGCGGGCGTTTTAGATGACGGTGTAGCAACCATGCTGTGCATGGATCTCTTCTTGTTGAGAGTTCTTGGAGGAGATCGTCGCCCCGCCGCCGAGGGTGAGGATCGCTGAAATTCCGCAAGTTCGGCTTTGGAGAGAACACGCCGAAGAGTAGGTCGAGAAACAACAGAGTTGTCTTTTGTCAGAGACAGTTCGCGAGCGGCACCCCAAGCTGGATCTTGTAGGTCCATTTCCCAAATCATGAGAGTACCATCGGATCCTACACTTACTACTTTAAGCTTGCCGTTCTCCTCTTCGACCAAAGTCACACCGTTTATGGCCTCGGTATGTCCCCATTCCCGGTCCAGGAAGGCTCCTGTTTGGGCGTCATAAATCCTGATCGACTTATCTGTATTTGAAACGCCTACAACGAATGTAGGCTCTTTATCGAAAGCCGGCCGAGCAGTAAGCGAATCCAAAACAACCGACTCAGTGCCGCCCTCATCAGTACATTTAAATGAGTTCACAAGCTTCCCGTTCTCTAAGTCGAATAGACTCATGGTCCGATCTAGTAAGGAGACAAGCAATGATTTCTCGTCCGCGCCCATGGTCATAGATGACGGAGAAGCCTTCAAAGGTAGAGTTTTGGAAGAGATGGCCGCCATGACATCCGGCTCGCCATCTTTCTCTACGAGTTCGTGGACTTGTAAAGTCCTGTCCAGAGAACAGGTAATCACTTTATCAGCTGACGGAACGAGTACCTGGACAACTCTAGTAGCGAATTCCAAGGTCTGAAAATGTTTAAACTCTCCAGTAGCTGTCCTGTGGAACAACTGCGCCGTACGATCACGACCACAGGTTGCAATGACGAATTTGGAATGGTCCTCGAATGTAGTGATAAACTGGCATTCTGAAGCGTGGGCTTTCATAGTTGACACACAATTCAGAGTTGCGAACTCGATGATCTTAACAATCCCGAGCTTGTCGCCGGTGATAAAGTACTTGCCACCCTCCGTGGCTCGTACTAGATTCAACTGATTGACAAAATCAGGCTCATCTTCGAAATTGGCCTCTTCAAGTGGAACCTGAAAAGAGCATATGATTCTACCTTCGACATCCCATAATATGACTTGCCCGGATGCCGACCAACTGAAGAAATCAGCCTCCAGTCCAACTGGACGACGAAGAGCCTCGACACCCAAGATGGACTCTCGGTGTCCTGGAATTGGTATAGGGGGATTTTCCAGGTCTAGAGTATCTGGATCTTTATTAAGGCCCCAGATATGAATAGAGCGCTTGGCGTCAACTGTTACCATATTGTCATTCAGAAATCCCATCGCAAAAAGGCCGTCAAAAGAGCCAATGTTCGTGCGAAGAGCATTCTGATCACATTTCATGAAAGCTGCCAAGTCGATAGTGGCCAGGTTTCCCGACTTACCGCCCAGGTAAGCAACATCTCCACGGATAGTAACGCAGGTAGTCACAAATCCACTTTCGAGGACATTGGTCAACCTCATCTGCTTATCCGTGTCATCAAAGAGGCATACATCGCCCGTCTCCGAGCAGAGGATAGCCTTTGTATCGTCGATGGCGGCGCCAGAAGCAAACGTCGCTTCTATCATATCATTAAGTATAACGTTCCGACCGTGTAATGTTTTCTGATGCTGTTGATTGGCCGAATTCGAATCTCCGGTGAACTTTTGCTTTATAGGAGCCAGTGATTGGCTCTCGTCAATCTTCCACACCTTTACATGACGTACGCCAAAAGTAATCAGATTATTGCCCACCCATACCATGCCACGGATATAAGATGTGCATCTGTTCTGCTGAAACAGCTGCGCAGCGCCAGTTTTCGTGTCAATCTTCCAGATGTAGATGAAACCGTCGTGTGCAGTTCCCAGAGAAGCGAGATACTTGGAATCGGGGGACCAAGCAACGGCCTTAACCCCATATGCATGCTCGCTGATGGAGACGAGTGGAGTATCGGACGAGTTATCTTCCAAGTTGAAGATGAGAACACGGGGAGCGTAGCCAGTTTCGCCAACAGCTAGGAACCTCCCCTCTTTGCTGAGAGCTAAACACGTTGCAGCCTTGATCCGCTCTCGGCTGGTCCACGTCTTCGATGGCGTGGGGGATTCGGTCCAATCAAGCGAGTTATATGTCGATTCCCGCAAAGAGGCCCTATTCCGGCTGTCGTTCGCCTTTGGAGTTTGGTTCGGTGTCGATGGGGAGTAGGGAAGCGGAGATGTGCTGTAAACTGGAACTGCAGAAGGGCGGGCTCGGTAGAAACGCTGGGTATATTCTGCCCCGTCGACATCGACTACAACTACAGCTCCTCCGGCGATGTATGCAAATGATGAATGTACGGTATCGAAACCTGTAGGTGCGGCACAGGTAGTACCGACAACTCGCTTCAGAGAGAGGCGAGGATCTATCGAGGTTTTGTTGCGATGAGGTGATCGAACAGGGTGTGGAATAAAAGGCGAATTTGACGGGGTCAATTTCAACCGATTTGAAGGAGTGGATGCCATCTTCTTGCCATTGGTTTTGTTCCCAGAGCAAATGCTATATAGGGCTAACAATAAGTTCGGCTGAGAGAACCGGCGTCTTCTTTCTTTCAAGTAATATTGATAGTACTGGAAATTTCTATGCGGTGAGGTGTCATGGGGGAGGGTCTTTGTGGATAAGAAGAAAAAAATATGAGATGGCGCAGATAACTAACAGCACATAGATGTTTTACCTAGACTAAAACAGAGACAATAGCAAGGAGTGAGAAAATAAAAAAGTGTTTCTAGGTATTGTTCCTTGGTAGGACGGGGCAGATAAGGGATATATATGAGAAAACCTGAGGGCCTCAAGGGGGGAAGCTGAGATGGAGGGAAAGTAGAAAGGGTCAAGGGTCAAATGCTATAAAACAATGTCAATTGGAAGCTACACACAACGAATCATTATCATTGATGACTTACAGTGACGTGAAAAGAAAAGAGAAAAGAGAAAAAAGCAAAAAATAAAAATAATAAAAATAAAAATAAAAATAAAAGCTAATGGAAGCCTTTAGGGCTGCATTAAGCTGATATGGAAAGATGGAGATGGTAACAAAGCCAACGAAGAGCGGTTATTCCGTATTAGCGTGTATATTATGTGCCCTATTAGATCCGACAACCTGGCACCTGTTGTATTAAATATGTGTATAGTAGTCAAGTCAAGAATGACCGTGAGACAATGACACCATTGATGCAAGGTCGGTTCTTTCAGAGCAAAGTCGCACCTCTCGCACCTCTCGCACCTCTCGCGATTGGGAAATATTGAGGTGTGAAGGTGAGAATTTCGGGTCTTGCCTTGGGTAGGTAACAAAGTGGAAACCCAACCCCCCCGAGCTTTTTCTTTTTGCTATGGGGTTTTATTGGTTTGTCTTTTCCTACCAGGGATTGATTTCAACGGGGGAGTAACCGAAAGGTTATTCTAATTGGTTGGTCTCTGAACCTTTTCCGGGTCACCTAGCTGCTTTTGGTGTGACGGTTCTCTCTAAGTGGTCCGTACTAGGTCAGTAGGTACATATGCGTTGTACCTTCGCCTAGTCCGCATAGAGCTCTGTGAGGCTGCAAGTAGACAGGGGTATCACATTGAACTTCATTACCCGCCTTTTGCTTCCAAAGTTACGAAGTACTTGCAGTAAGTATCACAGGTACTACATTACTACATAGTATGTATCATACCCCCTTATATGGGGTAGCTCGTGTATATAATGGCAGAGTCATTCGACAGCTTCGAATAATATGGTAATTAAGGTAAAAGCGGCCGGTTTATCTTATTTTTTTATTTTATTTTAAAAGGATAAGCCGGTTCCTATAAGTCAATAACATATCACAACTAAGTTGGGCAATGCGACAACGCACGACCGCAAATCCGACCCAATTAGGAAACGGCAAGGATCATAAAGGTCCCTAAGTTCTAGTAGCAGTTAGGTAAGCTTTCTCGATACCTATCCACTTAAGCAATGCAACCCCATGAATATGCTACTACTATGTAAAAACACAGAATAGTTAAAGTCAACCTTCTCTTGATATTAGTTAAGTCATTAGGCCAAGTAGTTTTATATAGGTAACTACGCCCTTTCATCCTACTCAATTCGGTCCTAACGCATACTCATATCCATTACTGACAAGGCTTGGCCCCTTGTAAAAAAAATGGTAAGAGTGCATTAAACTGATTTCAACCCCACGTTATTATCATGCAGGGTTTCCAACTACTTCGTATCCTCAAATATTTTTGAAGGGTATTCACAGCTAACTGGACACAATGAGAAACGGAGAATGCATTGCTAGTCCGGTCTTTGTTGTGCATGGTAATCACTTACATTAGGTAGACATTGTCTAGCTCTAGGTATAATCCGTACATGTAACTAAGTTATTCTTTGCATATGTAATGAGTGGAAATGTACATTTCATCTGCCCCATATCAGAGTGGAGGGAGGGGAGATACCCGAATAATAAGTCTTCTGTTGTTTTTTTTTTTTTCTAATAAGTGGGCATTTAGTAAACGCATGGACAATTCAAAAAGGAGCAAGGTTGAAATCTCCACGAGAGGATCTTAATATCTGTATACGTAATAATAAATAATACGAAAACATAGTCTATCCCTATTGTAAAAATAGTCTACATAGTATAGCTTATCTTGATATGTCGTCACGACGTCTTCCTAGCCTTCGTCATAGCATGCATGATTCAAGGGTCGCGGTGGAAATCATCTCCTGCTGCTGCTGCTACTTGCTCTCCGAGAATAGCGTAAGGACCTAATAGTAATGAGTCATTCTCCGCCACCATCGCCTCAACCCGGGGACAAGCAATCATGCCACCGATCTCGGCCGTCTCGGGGGTTGCGTCCGCGGACCCCTCCGCCTGTTCCAGTAAGGATCTCTCACGATGCCCTCGCGGCGCCACTTGCGGGGAGGCTTCGTGCCGAGCGCGGCCATCTGCGTCCAGATGTTCTTGCCGCGCTTGAACCAGCGCTCCTGGCGCTCGACCTCCTCGTCGGGGTTCGGCCTCCACCTGGTCCGGAGGATGCGCCGGATGGCTTCCACCGACACCTCGAACTTCCTCGCCAGCACGGGCGTCGTGTACTCCTCCGGGAACTGCGCGTGCAGCGCCCGGATGCCATCGAGCGCGTCCGGCGACAGCCGCTTGCGCGGCGCCCAGCCCTCGGGGAATTTCTCCTTGAGGGCTTCTTTTTGTATCTGCCACGGTTCCTTCTTCACGACGAATGGCGTGTTGGGCGCCTTGGGTTCTTCTTTTACGATCTTCAACCTCTTCAACCTCTTGGTCTCGACGGGTGTCTTGGCCTCGACAGGTGGTGCAGAGTCCGCCTTCGATTCGGGGGGAGTATCAGACTTGCCCTCTCCATCTTTTTCTCGAGCACTTTGAGCCTTCTTCTTTGGTTTCTTCGAGGGGGGGATCAAGGCGTCGATAGATTCGAGAGACAAGTCAAGGATTGCACCTTTACTTTTCGCCTTATCTAAAATGTCCGCGGGGAGTTCGAGCACCGGTACATCGGGTTCTTCTACCGTAGCATCGTCGGAGGTCTTACTTTGTTCGGTTTCTGAAGTTTGGTAGGTTTCTAATGAATGTGAGGCCTGTTCTTGCGATTCTTGCGATATCTGCTGTGGAAATCGTAAGGCTGGGGTGGCGCTGTATGGCCTAGAAAAGGCGAACTGCGACTGAAAACCAGTAACTCTTGAATATCGTGGTTGGATTTGCCTGGCAGAATTGGATAATCGAAGTTCTGCAAGGCTCTGCACGAAAATCTTTAAAGATATCGTGCGACACGAGCAATGCATCATATTTAAGTTGGTTATGGTTAATGTTATTAGAAGATGAAAAAGGCTGAGATAAACTTTTAATTGAAGATTGACTTTTTTTTTTTTTTTTTGTCTTTTGCCGCTTGGCAAAATCAAAAAGATTCTCCTGCAGGGTTCCGAAAGCACAGGCTAGCCGCATTTCCTGACCCATATATTTATTTTAAAGTTATGTGGGCACTGTGGAGACAAAAGGGGTACAAGGTACATAGTTACGTGCCTGACTCGTTCCCCCTTTACTCAACGACGTCAGGTAAGGACAGCGGTGATGCTAATGATGGACTTTTATCTTCTCTATGTTATATCGTTATATCGACACACTCGGTGGCGCATGTAATAGCCTAGTTTTATTTTATTTATCTTTCGGAACAAAAAGCTAGCGACATTCTCTTGGAATAACTGCCAATTTAAATACCTGTCATGATCATTTTGTCAATATCAATATTAATCCGAGCCATGCATATTGTCTTTCCTTTCCTTCTAAATAATAAGTAACTGTTAATACATTTATTAGTTGAGTACCTAGTACCTAGTATTTCAATTCATTCTGGAATACATACCTTGCCATGGTATCCGCATATAAGAATGAAGAATCGAATGAAAATAGTTGGCGGGAATGTTGGGGCGTCAAATTCAAATGGGCCCCGAGGCATCTCACGGCAAACGACTTGAAACCATTAATACATACATCTTATAGAAAGTATTCAGAAAGTGTAGACAGCGTGCCAAGAGAAGAAAAGAAAGTCAGAGGTGATCTTTATGAGTTGCTCCAAAACCACGCTTCTACTACTTATGACACCGCTGGTAGGTTACGGGAAGAGGTTAACATCGTTCCGGATCGGGTCGACTGGGAACTACAGCCGTGAGTCGACATCCTCCTCGCCTAGCCGAATGTTCGTTAATACCTAAGTTTAGTTGACATTTCTACACCTCTTACATAGGTGGAATGGGGAGCGGGTGAACTGTACAGACGCTCGACCGTACTAAAGGCTTCGGTGTGAATATTATCAGACGCCGCTTACTGGAAACCACGCAGCATACTATGAACATAACTTGCGACCTTGAGTCTATAAAACCGGGCGGCGACGGTTTCGTCGATTCGGTTAGGATTCGACTGCTCCACGCGGCGGTGCGTCGGCATATTTAGGCATATAGTGTAGCTGAGAAAGAGCCCGAGTACTACGATATGAAGACCTTTGACGTACCGACCAACGCCCTCGACTGCATTGGCACTATCCGTACGTTTTCTGCCATTGTGATATGGACGGGCCTTCCGAGGCAAGGCATATGGTTACGTAAATAAACACGAAATTGCCGACTACCTCGCGCTCTGGCGGTACGTGGCGTGTCTTATGGGTATGCCTCACGATTGGATGTCGACGCCAGAGTCAGCCCGGCGCATGATGGAGTCGCTGTTGGTAACAGAGATCAAATCCAGCAAGGCGTCGGCAAACCTCGCAAACAAATATCATCGCCGGGCTTCAGAACCAACCGCCGACGTATGCCTCGAGGGAGTTCTTGCGTGCTCAGACGTGTTGGCTGAACGGACGGGAATTGTCAAAGGAGCCTAGCCTATACTACACCGCCCTCGTGGTAGGGCAGTGCATTCATTCTCTTTGGGACGCTTAGTTATGTCAACCGAAGTATAGGTTATCTAGAAGAAGGAAACATTAATGTGAGTCAAGTTACACGCTCCCGAGGCTGGCTCTAGCCTCGTGACGGGGGCTGTGTAATCCAAGTCTCACTTTTATTCCTATCATCCAAATGTTCACATCTACGGATTATAGCAAACCCATGCTAGCTCGAGTGGATAATCCAATATTCCATGTCATCCTTCAACAGCATGTGTATGCAATCAAGCAATCTGCGCCTCTACATCGCTCGTCTCCTTGCGTACCCCTTGCGTCTCGCGTATCTGCATGTGCTGCTGCAATAGACATAGCTCAGTGACCAGGCATCTTCTTTGATACTACAGCTAGTCCGTACGGCCCTGTACAAGCTCTTACTCCACGGCAAGTCTCAAGGTGCGCTGCGCTACACGACCAGATTTAACCTCAAGTCCGTACCCTTATCTGACAGGAAGACAACTGTACGGGGAGCGACACCGGCTCATTCGTGATGTCCGAGGGTACTAGGGGGAGGCGCACGCGCGGCATTGACCTCTTTACTCACGTCCGCAGCCATCCTATGTATTGCTTCTTCATGGTTCTGTGTCGAGGTTGCGAGATGGACGGCAGCGTCTTAGACGAAATATTTTGGCAGCTACCTGTTAAGTGGTAAGCAAAGTGTCGTATGGATACAGGACAGCTAAATTTACCTATTCCTCTAGACGTTCTTATGTTATGCTGTGGCGATGCCCCCTTAGGCATTCAAGATGTTGTCTGGTTAGCCTCGCGGCTGTGGGGTTTGTTTTGGAATATTATCTGACTTGAAGGATTCTATGTGAAATGAGAAATATTTGACACATTATAGTATTTGAATCCTACGGAGAAATCCGTTGTGGCTTATGCTGCACGGTCTATTTAGACAATAACACAAAATCTCCACAACTTTGCTGATGTTTGTAAACACGTTTGTACACTTCATATTGGTATTGGGCTGGTGTATAAACTAGAACGGATATCGTACAATATGAATGCTTCCCATGCCACTGAATTCCTCGCCTTTAAGCTCTACCCTCTATAGACAGCCCGTATAATCAACCCCTTGAACGCGCCCATTTCTTGGCGTATAAATGCTATGTCTTTTCACAGGCGATGCTATGCTGCGGTAAATGTGGATATCGACCCAGGCTCTAGACTCAAGACCATTAACCCATCCGGAACGCCATACTACCAAAACTGCAAGAGAAATGAATAAATATACTCGTTTTCAATCCCTGTCCGATTATAGGCCGTATGTAATAAATATACACTCTATTCCATAAGCTCAACAGGTGGCCGGGCTGTGTGCGTCTTTATCGGAGGCGTATTTCGACCGAGAGCGAGTCCTAGCTCTGAAGGCTCATCTGTCATGTCATCCACAGAAATAGCTGGTAGATTAGGACTGCCACCGTGCTCCTCCGGGTGGTAGATTAAGGTGCTACTCCTACTCCTAGTCTTGAACGAGGCGGGACCGGACTCGACCGGAGAGACTGGAGAAGCATCCGCGGGTGATGCTTGGTGGCGCAGTTTTGCTAAGGCTTCTGCCAGGTCTTCGGCGTGAACTTGCTTGTTCGGCGCGTCCTCCAACTTCATCTCCCAGCCGTGAGGCGGTGAAGGGGGCGGGCTGATGAAAAATAGCTTTCCGGCGTCTGGGAGCTGTAACCGGTCATCCTTTTGGAGGTCGAGAGGAGTAGGTTGTCCGAAGTAGACTCGACACCGCTCGCCCATGATTGCTTCGCCGTCCCATACTGATCGTACCCTGATGGCAGCCTGCTCATCGTAGAAAGACACAACTATGCGGCGGAATGACTTTAACGGTGACCAGGTATATATCGGCGCGGTTCCTTGAATGAGATCACGGAGGGTTTGTAGGTTATCAGGGCGGAAGATTTCGGGGTCGTTTAAGTTAGTGATGAGTAGAGTGTTGGTGGGTGGCGTGGGCTGCGTTAACGGCGGTAGGCTGGAGAAATCTAGAGATAAAGATCTGGATGACCCACGTCGCTCCATGAGGGGCCGCAAGGGCGAGGAGGGGATAGATGTTGGTGATTGAGGGCCGGACATGTTGTCTTGGGCGGTAATTTCCAAAAGTAAGATGTTTTGGCTGTAGAGTTAACTACGATGAAAAAGAGAGAGTTCGATAATTTATGAACGCCGAAGTTTGATAAGATCAACGCCGAGAAATATAATATTCCCTTCCAATTGAAGAGCTCTCAGTTTGTTCAAGTTCTGTTGGTGAGAGGTAAGAGTGAAGTAGTTAGTTGTAAGAAGAGGGAAGGAAAGGAAAGGAAAGAAGAGGAGATGTAGTGGAATATGTATTAGATCTCGGTAAGTGGCTGCGCAAGAGCGGTGGAAATTATAGCGATTGCGTAGCAGGTACTTAAGGTTTAGTGGAGACACCCAGGTAGGAGGTCCCCAGCAGCCTAGGTGCTCAAGGTTTACAGCGCCACAGATCAGTAAAACCTTGTGAACGTCCCTCTCCACTCATTAACCCAACGCTAGCCCGCATCAGCCTATCGAATTGGCTTTAATTCTCTTAAGCCCAGCAGATTTTTGGTGATTCGTGCAGGGGGCGGCTATGCAACACTTAGCGTATCGAATGTAGATGTTGTAGGGACCTACCTAAACCTAAAGAAGGTACCTATCCACTGACCGCAGCGTCGTTATGGATCATCTCTACGCGTACAATACGTACAATACGTATCACTAGACATTTCCAACCTCGTCGATAATCAGTTGACTCGTTTACGTTTTTCGATTGGAACCAATGCAGGTACTGCTCGGGAATTAGTCTTGTACGGCAGACGCCCTCGGCTTACCCTTATGCGCCTTGTCTAGCTTTGTGCGCTATCATAATAACCATATGCATGGTATGTTAGAAAGTCACTTGCTTGCCTTTTCGTGATCATTATCATTATCAGACGAAATGAACTTATTTTTATCAAACACCTTAGATAGGTACCTAGTGTACCTGTTATCAACGTTGCTACATGACGTAACTTGCTCATCTAGAACCATGCTGTTGGACAAATGCCCGTGCAATGTTATTCAATGTTAGGTATTCAATGTGGAGAGAGAAACACTGCCGCGCGATAAGTCTTATCGAAGGTTCAATAACAAAAACGAAAACGAAGCGAAAAGCGGCTTTTGCACACAGCCCCATCGACATTGGGCAAGTTCGGGGGTACAACGTTAAAAGCCGAGACCTTTACCTGCTTAAAACCTTACCGGCATCACAGGTGTGGCGTAAACACCCTTATACCCCCCCCCCCCCCCCCTCCGCCCAGCGCCCCCGGCTTTCCGTTCCAGATTCCAGAACGCTGGGCAGAATTCTTGCATTATCTAATCCGTACTGGTTCCCTCTCGTATAAGTGACCACGTGACAACCTCATGATTTACAATTCGGCTTCTCCGATATGTCTTCTAGTTTAAGTACTATGGGCAGGCAATAAAAGCTGCATGTGTAATGTATAATAACACGTTACCATATATATGAATGTCATTATTAAGGTATGAATGAATTTTTTTCGTCTTATTAGCCAAGGATTGAGAAAAAAAAAAAAAAAGCTTTCCTCTTTCGCTTATTATGTCGCTCAACTTATATTGTTCGTGTCAGCTGGCTAGCTCAGCCTCAGTCAATTTCGCTAAGTGCGAGCGTAAGAGAGCTAGATAATGACTTGATTTGAGTTTTATAGTTAGCAGGCAAAGTAGAAAGTATCTACCTACGTTTCATACATTCTGAATTCAGTCGGCACTGAAAGCAGGCGTGGTTAATAGAGAGGCGCGTTTGATCCATATCAAAAAGGGATGCTTGTCTAAACTTAGGTAGGTACTCAACCTAATCTTAACTGACACGCTTAAGTGATGGGTTTCGGTTTATCTCAGTATATTCATCCTTTTATCCTATTCCTATATAAATATGTGTGAGGAATCCTTATAATGCACTCTATCGTATTGTAAAGTGAGTTGTTATTAGAGAAGTCTAGTAATTTAGTTATTTTTTTTTAGCCATTATAACTCCGGTATTTATAATCAATGCCTAATGTGATTATTGCCAAGACCATAGTTAACGTATCGATGGATACGTGATTGGGAAGAATTACATGTATTACTACCAAGTTATGCTATTTATACTGTTACTACTTAATAATGTCCTTCGTCGTTACTTACCAGAGTTGGCCTTAGACTAGAGGGAAGATATGCAAAAGATAGAAGATAGAAGTGGTATCATGGTTCACTAAGCGATGATGAGGAGCTACACAAACCAAACTTGGCACTGCCCTCAATTTGAATAGGATACAATATAACCTGAGAATTACATTCATAAGACGACAGCATTAAGAAAAATGAATCTGCCTACCATATATTCTTGACGAAGTGGTTGGGTATGGCTGCGTTTGTAGAGGGGTTAGGTACCTACCTCTTGGGTATGCGAAACGCCTAGTTATCTTGTATAGTAAGTATCGTTTCATCTGTTGGTTCTTTATATCAGCCTAACCTAATCTCGCTTACATGGACGTCCTTATGTGCCTAACGTAGCTGTAGTACCAACTTCCCCGCTCTGAATGCGGTGGCTTAGATGATACCCAACCCAAGCCTTGCCCATACCCAACGGCCTACTGTGGCAGTCTGAACTCTTTTACCATGAATCAATACACCCTATTGTACGATGACGATTGAACCTTTCGTCTGTTTCTATAATTCCATAGTATCTACCTTCTCTCAGCGTGTCAGAGCTGTCATTCGGAAGAGAATACGCTACAACAATGTCTGGCCTTGAAGCCCTGGGTATTGGTTGCAACGTAATGCAAGTGATCAGCTTCGCGCATGAGACTGTCGAATTTTGTAAAGGAGTATATCGCGGTCAATCTTTTAATGATTACAATCAACAGACCGTTGCGTCACTCCAAGGACTCTCCGCTCAGTTACAGACGCACTTTCAAAAAGCAAAGCTAAAAACTACTAACGAAAAGCAGCTTGCTGATATTGCCAGCAAGTGTAACGTTGCCGCACGTGCACTGGAGGACGAAGTGAACTTCCTCGGGTCTCATCATGCGAAAGGTGATCTTCGAGCGGCCCTAAGCGTCGTGATAAAGACGAAGTGGCGTAGGTCTCGGCTAGAGAGACTGGAAAAATCACTCCGTAACCACCAACAAACAATGGAATCATATTTACTCGCTCGAATATGGTGAGCATTAGTCCCCATACAAGTATATGGACGAGATCTAATATCTTCCAAGCACACAAGCCGATGCTCTCGAACTCCAGCAAAGCCAAGGTTTTGAGAAGCTCGACACTGATATTCGGTTTTTCACAAGCCAATATGCTTCTGGCCACACTCAACTGGCTGATCTCATTAAGCTAGAGTTAGTGTCGGTCAAGGGTGACGTAGTGAAGACGACTATGCAATCTGAGAAATCGGTCAAAAAACATGTTGACACTGTGGTGGCCTCGACCGAGGAATCCATAACAAGGCATATTACAACGAGAACTAACGAGCTTGTCCGGAAGATGGACCAAACTACAATCGAATCCGATGTAAAGTCTTCGACTAAAGAGCAGCAAGGTCGATTCCTTGAAAGTCTCCGATATGAAGGCATGAACCAGAGGAAGAATGATATAGCGAGTTCGTTCGAACATACATTCGAATGGATATTCGACTCAGATCCCGACACAAACTGTACACAATTATGGGATGACTTTCACGACTGGCTCAAGTCTGACACCAACATTTACTGGTAGGTATTAACCCCTCCTTCCAGTTCAACGAACCGAGTGGCTGTTCTAACGTGTATTAGGATAAATGGCAAGCCTGGATCCGGAAAAAGTACACTGGTGAAGTACCTCTTAAACGATCCTTCTACGAAGGCAGCGTTAAATATATGGAACGCGAACTCTACCGTATTGTCTCATTTTCTCTGGAGCCCGGGCTCGAGAATGCAGAAGAACATTAAGGGATTCCTGTGTTCCATCCTCCACCAGGCCTTCTTTTCCGCAAAAGGACCTACGCTCGTGAAATCAATCATGAATACTTCCAACCGCTTCTTACTTAAGCGGGAAGTCGGCGACTGGGACATTCAGGAGTTGAAAGATGTCTGTTTTGCGGTATTGAGTAGTGATATGTTCCCAGCATGCATATTCCTTGATGGATTGGATGAAGTATGCGAAGAAGACGGGCAGCTTTCTCTGCTCAAGTTGGTCGACGAACTCAGAACACTTCCCGAGGTCAAAGTATGCGTTGCTAGTCGACCTGAACCAATACTCCAATCCAACTTATGCAGACACCAACAATTGAGATTGCAGGACTTAACATATAACGACATGCTGGCGTTCGCAAGTGGACAAATACAACCATATATCACCTGCGATAAAATATCCGAAGAATTTGGATGGCGTACCACCGAATATCTCGTTTGGAAAGCAGAAGGTGTGTTTCTCTGGCTTCATTTAGTGCTACGAAGTTTTATTAGAGGGATCGAGAAGGGCGATCCGGAAACAATTCTCATGCAGCGGCTTGAAGAATTGCCCAGCGAACTGACAAAACTTTACTCCGACATGTGGGCAAGAATGAACGAGGATGCTAGACTCTACCGCGAAGCTGCAGCCCGGTATTTCAATTTGGTCGTACTTGAGAGCAAGATGAGCAAGTTTGGAATTAGGGTCCTCCATTTTATTGGTGCGACGCAAGCTGAACTACAAGACATTATCCTCAACAAACGGGGCTCTATTGGCGCAGAAGCTTTAGAAGAGGTGCGAATTGAATCTATGAAGGCCTTAGAAGTCCGGTGCGCTGGTCTCCTAGAGATAAAAGAATTTGGAAGACTCCGCGTGCTGGATCCGACTAACTATGGTCTTATACGAGGAAAGGGGGACATGCACATACAATTCATTCATCGGACAGCCTATGATTTCATTACGGACACTAAAGAAGGCCATCGTATTTGCGCCCAGGATTCTTACTCGCTGAATACCTTACGTATCCAACTTGCCAAAGGTCACCTAGTCATGGCCAAGTTTTTTAGAGACACGACTAATGATATTGACCGTGTCTATCGTTATTTGCACCCCATAGAAGATCCAAGCATGCTGGACGAAACCATTCAGATACTCCGTCTTGCAAGGGCATGGTATAATGAACATTATTACCGTCTTAATCCGACCTTATATCAGAAATTCCCATGTATTATTGGACCTCATTTCTTAGCCCTTTTCGCCGAACCGAAATATCGAAGCTTTGTTCTCTCCAGCATCAAAGAATCGTCAAATCCATCATCGCTAGCCACACATATCTTGAGAAACTTGCAACTACGATGTCCACCGTATCCCCCAATTAAGACCAACTTCCCTGGTATTTCTTACATTGAGACACTTAATTGTTACTTAAGACCACTCCTTTCTCTCGATGCGAATATAACGTGTCAAGGGCCTTGCGCACCATTCATTCCACAAGATGAGCGTCAGCCGCTATTATTCATCAGCGCATTTGCAAAGTTCATGCTCAACGTTCTCATCTTTAAAGCCTCTTTCAAACTTGTAGCTGAACCACTGCGAGTTTTCATGGAAAATGGACCTAACCTACACGAGCGCATACCGCTATTTATTTCCATGCCAGGCGGCTTAGAACTAATTTTCCCGGAAACCTTTGTCCAGCCCCATGATTGGCCATTCCAAGACGGTAATTATGGGAGAGTCTCGACGATGCTTGATATAGATGATGATGTGCTGCGTTCCTCCCGAAACCTAGATGTGTTCGTGGTGTTAATTGTTGATATTGGGCTTCTAGTCAAAGCTTTTCTCATGAGTCACTCAGTCGATATGTATTTGAGGATTGCGAAAGGACTGGAATGTCAACCAGCCCAAATGATACTTATACATGTGGATGATATACGTCCTCAGGTCCGCAGAAGCACGAGGTGTATGCGCTTCCGACCAACGAACGTAGAGGCCACAGAGCCCCTGTTGAGTTTATTATTGCAGTTTGTATGTGGTCATGACGTATCGGAGGAGGTATACAAGGAGGTAGTGAAAGCAATCCGGGATTTTTCTTCAGGATCGCCGAGTTATGAAATGATCGACGGATCTGTTCAGCACTACTTGGCTGAACAAGAATGCGGCTATCGGTACTCGGCGGGTGATGAATGGATGGTGCGATGCTCTCGTTGTAGGGTATGTAATAGTCTGTGTGTGGATAAGGATGAGGATGAGGATGAGGATGAGGATGAGGATGACCTATTATATTAGCTAATGGGGACTTCACCAAACTCCAAAATATAACAGCCTCACAGGGTTGGATGAGAGACATGTCCAGAGCGCTGAAAATACAATTCAGTATGCCCAATTCAAATGTGTCCCATGATTCATTAGGACTGGATCCGGCGAGACCGGTAAATCTTCTGCAGGAGAAAAAAAAAAAAAAAACAAAACGAAAACAAAAACAAAAACAAAAAAACCGAAAATATTACTCCGGTACGGGGAATCGAACCCCGAGCTCCTCGGTGAAAACGAGGTATGTTAGCCGTTACACTATACCGGACTGTCTGATGGATTCACGTCAAAGTGGAGAGACTAGGAGAATCCTAACATCGTTCTATAAAGTAATCTAAAATCAAATAGCTGTCACGTCGCAGAGCATGCAGTAGGTAAAACAACTTTATTGTTCCGCAAGGAACTCTAACTACAGTTACTTTGAAGCCAAAGCTATATACTCCTGACAATAGCTTCAGGATTTATCCATACGGCTACTAGGTGTACTTGATCATGTCGGCTGTCAGCAGGAGTATAGGTATTAATTCTCAACAGAAGCCGTTGATCTGTCAATGTGCCTCTTATAAGGTATTTCTGTTACGGTTTCTGGCGTATGATTGCGATTTCGTGGTGGCCGATCTCGGTAAATCCCGATGGACCCGTGTGCCGAATGGGACGGGATTAGCAATGCTTGAACGGTGCACGGTGCACGGGGCACGGGGCCGATCTCGCGACGGAGTTTTATTGCCATCGTCGCGGCGGGGAGTTGCATCCTACCCAGAAATTAGAGACATCTTTATTCTCCCATAGCATGGTTTCGCTTATGGATTATCTTAGCGGTGAAAGCATGTTCAGAATGTGGGTTGAAATAGGCATCTCAATCCTGGTTGGAAGTTTGTCAGTATTGCCTATTACCTCCTATAATATTTCTGTGAAGCCAATCGGATTACACTCCTTATGATATGTAAACGCTCACTAATGTGGGAGTCTCCATGCAAGTTGTAGAGCAGACAGGCAACCAACCGCAATCACAGGTTGCACATAAATGATAAGTGATGCTATTTCTAGATTACCTTGCCGGGCCTTAAATGTAGATCACCCCACTTGTCAATTAGTAATTAATTTAGTATGACAAGGGTTTGTACAGGCCCACAATGCTTATTTGAAGCTTTTCAAATCTCACGATGTCTAGGAAAGTAAACAATTCAAAGTAAACAACAACAAAGACAAGCCACTTTTATCGTTAAACCTATCAAATTCATTACAATGCTTCATATAAGTGAGCCGTGTTTTATGGAAACACATTTATATGGGAAAAGTGATATTAGAAGGGCTTTGTCGTAAGGTGCATCTTCATATGTAAACAGCCTCCTGTCACTCAGCAATATTTCGCCGTATTCTTAATATTCTTTCGAAAGACTTAGATATAGATTCCTCTGATCACGACGATTAATTTGATATATGCATTGTTTATTGAAAACGTCGTTGTCGTAAGGAGATTTTATATAAGCATCCTTATATGTAGATTACTTGCTGTTATTCGTAGATTACTAATGTATACCCTTATTTGTAGATTGATATAACCTTATTGGTAGATTAGTACCTCTTATTTGTAGATTAATCTATTTTTACTATACTTATATACGGTTGCATTTACTGAATTTTAGTATCAATCAATCAGGAATCATGTAAATAGCTCAAATTGATTCTTTCGTGTATAAGATACCCTTGTATAGTGTGGGGTAATCTAGAAATAGCATCACTCTAAATGATATAACTGGCTCCTCACTACCCCTATTCGAATAAATCCCATTTCTTTTTATACCTTCCTACCAGTTCCCGGCACCTGCAGCTTGCTAGCTCTTTCAGTTGTTCTCTTAACGTGGAACGAAACATCTCCAAGTCTAGAGTAATCCCCTCGAAGTAGCCAGAAGGAAAAATTCCTTCAAAGGACACATGTACTTGAGCCATGGATAGAAGATCTTCACGGTCGCCATATTGTATTGCCTTGCCGTTATCGCGAATCCAGATCTCCATAAATGCTTCCGTGATTTGTCCCACCCATGTAAGACCTTGATAATGAGCAGGGCCGAAAGGTTCGTCAAGGCAAACGTCTTGATAGGCTATTTGTCGCCTATCCGAAGGTATGCCTAGTTCTTCAAGTTTGTTGCCATCATCATCTACGTCGTTGATTTTAATTGGGCACCGATACTTGGGGGTTTCCGTGAATTTAACGAGCATAACCATCGCAACATCAGAGCCGCCTTCTAGCCAGAGTTGTGCGTCGCTTACAAGGTCCTCGTAACGTTCTGAAAACCTTGTTTCAAGAACCCATCGTGTCTTTTTTACTCCATTCTCGCCATATACTTGGATAGCAAGGTCCGGCTGCTTTGCAGACCTCGACCAAGGACCTTCGAAGTTATTCTCATCAACACCCCACCTGAACATCGTCTGGTTCTGAAGATGCATTGGCAGGCTTACTTTCGAGGCCATAAACACTTGGCCGATCATGCTGCTAATAGATTGGTGGAGTGGAGATGGCATGCATTGTATAATCAACTGCGATGTTGATGCGTTGTAGGATAAACGCGGATATCTAGTGGGAGGACAATATTAGTAAAGGCTAATAGCATAAGTGGTAAATGACAGCCTAACGTTTCGTCGCTTTCTTGCTCGAGTTCCGACTCGAGCCTGATCCAATCTCCCACCGATATCTTGATAGCAAACGGGGCTTCGTAGTCCTCTAAGGAGCGGTGTAGAGGGAATATGGTATTCTTGTTCTTTCGCCAAGAGCGGCACTCTTGGACATACGAATACGCTTCATCGTATGGAGATTTGTGCTCGGTTGCAGTCATAGGCTTCCCATCCCCCTCGTGAAATTCCCTCTTTTTTACCTTTGGCTCTGGATTGGTCGTAGGAATACTGGGTAAGAATCACGATTTTCGATGATAGTGATGGGGACTGTCCATGTTGGATTGCTGGGCACGTTGTTGAATTGGGAAGACAGACAAGGTACCTGGTACCATTCCAGAACTTAGGAAATAGTATTGAGGTTAAGGAGAACCTTGAAACGCCCTAATGAGTCAGCAACCCCTTTTTGCGCCGCATGTTCGCTTTTGCATTGGGAGTGTTAAGATCGTGGCACAATCATTGTGCGTTGGAGCATAAAGCGGAACACCAGGCGTCTAGTACACATCTTAACTATAAATAATACGAAAGGTGATACTATAGCGGTGACACAAGTCTAATCCTGATAGTTCTCTTACCATCTACTGCTGTCCACTTGTCACCTTGGAGCTATTTCAAGATATCTAACTTCATACAAATTAATAGTCTTCGTACTATTAAAATGTCGGTACCAGATACTAAAACAGACTTTGACCTACTTCTCGAAAAGTGTATCGGCCAGAGAGTTGAAATCCCGGACCTTTTTGCTCTCTGCCCATGGGATTTGGAAATATCCCCCCCAGACGAAAAGTTAACAAAGGAGGTAGAGCTATGGCGATCGAGGTAAGGCCACACTGACATACCTCAACTACTTATGTACCTGTTTTCTAATTATCAAGATGGATCGATGAACCGACGAGCTTGAAACGTAACCGTATTGTCAATTCTTGCTTATTTGCAAGGGCAATCGCACCAAAAGGAGCTCTTGGTGAATTGATAACTGTGGCTAAATTTCAAGCCTGGGTAAGTTTCGAGAAACCACTATATACAGTTCTTCCAACCAAACTAATATGTAGAGTGATAGTTATTTTACTGGGATGACGGTGAGCTATACAAGGAGTCTAACTAGTAGCATCATTCTGACTCAACCGCAGCCTACGATTTCGGCGACCTCGATAACAACTACGAAGAAATTGTTTCTCACCAGAAGCAGACAATAGAGCTACTCCGCCAGAGTCTTTTCCACAAGAACCCTGGTTCCATCAACCCGGCTGACATTTCTCCAAACCATCTTACCGTGCAATCATTGCATGAATGGGGAGCTGTTGTAGGCGAAAAGAGCGTATCTTGTAAGACTACTCTAAGTTATGTGAGATGGCTGCGCTGTTAACTGATAAACGCGTCAGCTTCCTTGAAAAACTGGTTCTTCAAAGTTCTAGTCGACTTCTGCAGAGCTACATTTGACCTCCAGAGCGCGTTTGATAAGAAAGACATACTAGATCTCGAGACATATCGGAAGATCCGCCTGGACTCATCGGCAGTACTACCTACTCTAGCCATGGCTTTGTTAGTCGTCATCCGCTCATTCATATTTTGAAGTTACCTAACACTAGCTGGCTTAGGTTTGCTGATCAGGTCGCCTTCCCTTCCTGGTTCTTTGACCATGAACTCGTCGAGAAAGCTGCAGAGCTAGTTGACATCATCGTTTGGGTGTAAGTTTTCTGCCTACCATTAGTACCTAAGGTACTAAGATGCGAAACATTTACTAATATTACCTATGAAGTACGAATGATATCGTGTCAGTACGACAAGAACTTGTAACTACCCCATCTGTTCTATCTACCTAGTCATCTCATACTAACAAAGAGGAGCAATGCAAACATGTCGATAACCTAATACCTCTTCTTGTCTATCACAGAGGAATTACAGTCCAAGAAGCCATCAGAGAAGCAAGCAGGATTACACATCAAGCTTATCTAGACTTTGAGGAATTAGAGCCGCATTTGATGCGGCTTGGTGAGAGTCGAGGCGCTGCTTACGAAATGCGAAGGTTTATCGCAAGTTGTAAATGCTTCTGTACTGGCGTTTTTCATTGGACGTAAGTAATAACTGTCTTCTTATTAAAACAAAAAAAAAAAAACAAAAAGAAACAAAAAAAAAAAAAGGGTAATGGGTTTAATGCTGATGATGCGATAGGTATGATATAAAACGGTATATCCTGTGGGAGCCTGGCATGAATCGTGGTAATCTGTCTACGGTACTTGGGGAGGACCTACTGAAGTAATAAGTGGGATATGTTAAGCTACCTAGGTACGTAGGTACCTACCTGTAGGTATGATATATGGGAGATAGTGTATAAGAGATGATGGCATTTTGATCCACTTTTATACATATTCGTGTGGTAAAATTGGTGGTTAGAGTGCTAGAACATAAGGAGCTTGTGAATAATTTCAGGATTGAGAATATTTTACTAGTAAACCAATTGTGGATGTGGATCGTTGACATGAGTATGTTATCTACCGATCGGCACGGGCGTGTTCAATCTAACATCTTCTAGAAACGATTATTACTGCTACTACAGAAGATCCGGAACACATGAATAATCTATTTCAGAATATTCAAGATAACATACTCTACGGTGAGACCAGGAGTCGGTTGGAGCGTGCCACGTCCGTTCAGTCCATTATGGAGCTATTTCTCGGAGCTACAACCGAATTTTTCATAGAAAAGTTCATATCATGTCCAGGCCAAGAGCCGGGGCAAAGGATAAATAAGGGCCCAATTGAAATATTTCGAGAGTCCATCAGAAAAGTGATTAGTTTTGTTATACTCATACAAGTCTACAAAAGTTCCTATTGTTGAAGCTGATCAATCTTAAACAGGCTGACGATGAGACTCGCCTCTTCAGAGATTTCCTCGCAGGCCTACACAACGAAGCCAGGCAACAGGGAGTACTCCACAGCGAAGTATCGCGGAATCGCTACCATATCATCTCATCCGAGACCGAGCTTCTCGACATTATAAGGGATATACGCGACGAACTACACATCCTCAAGTCTTTAGCGGAGGATCAACATACCGTCTGGAAGCAGGCCTTTCGTCGCAATGACCGCTCGGACCACTTCCAATACTACCACTCTTGCACCCCTATTGATGTCAAGAAGAATGTTGACGACATGCTTTCGGAGGCGGAGAAGACGACCAACTATGTTCGTTCTTTCACGGATCAAATTACATTGAAACTGACTTTGGAGATACCTAGATCAACGACCTTCTCGACCTGCGACAGGCTGAGTACAACTGAATACAAGCCAACGACTCCGCCAAACAGTCAAACAGTATATTCATATTTACCGTGGTTACCATAGTCTTTGTAAGTAATCATTTAGGAATGATATATATACCTACCTAATTTCATAATAGCCAGAATCTAGGCTAGAGCGCATCGCTAATATTAGTATCATTTATCTATCAAGCTCCCCCTCTCGTTTCTAACATCCTTGTTTGCGCTCGACGTAACAAGCTTCCCTCACGAATCGGGAGAGTTGAAGTACCAAGGCTGGTGGCTGTTTCCAATCCTGTGTAAGTAGCCCTATACATCAGGTAGGTACTAGAAAACTCAGACAAGCACTAATATTACAAGTAGTTGGCGTGACAGCTGCCGTCTCAATCCCCGCCATCATCCTAGCATGGAGTGTGAATGCGATCTCGGAGCGGCTTCGCATGCGGGATAAAGAGACCTCGAGCTCGACGGGAAAGCCCACGATTATTAATGGGAATCATACTATAGTGCAAAAAGTTACGGAAAATGTCTCGGGTGAAAGGTTGCGGCGGAGGTGGCGGAACCGTGGCAAGAAAGTCCTTCCACAGTATGAGCGTCCATGAGTATATTGGTAATTCCAACCCTTTCTTAGAAGTGGTTTCTAAGAATAGGGGAAATGAGGATGTTAATACAGATTCAATATTGTAGTTCGGTAACTACTTGCCTATTACGAGGGGATAAGAATATATATATGAACTGATCTTCGATATCCCATAACCATAGCTAAAAGATTTGGGACCCACCTACTTACTATCTCCTATTTATATTTATATACACACTTACAACTCGATATTTTGCACATGTTACTTTATAACTATTTCCTATTCTAAGTCTTGGATCACTGACCAGAAACAGAGAAAAACAAAAGACAAAAAGAAGTAAAAAAAACATACAACACCGGGTATTCGCCGGTCGTCACCGACCCGACTACTAATCCAGCAGTAACAGGTTTATCTAGGGGAGAGCGGACGGGATCCCGAGTTTTCCTGATCTTATGGTCGTATGTGATGGTTTAAGTCTCTGTTCTGGTATATATGCGGGTTGTTTGTTACCCCTGACTAACTAACCCCTATTTTAACCCCTATACCTCTCCAGACCTAGACCACCCTGTAACTTCCAATTTTAATGGGACAACTCGATGCACACATCATATATTCACTATAGGGCTGTTTATATAATTAGACGTAGAGTTAAATATGGTATATTTTCTCTTCAAGTCGCTAATACATGTATATAAACAATGTTCTTGGCATCGCGTTACCTATGCCTACCCTCTTCGTCTCCCGTTCCAACTTCCGGTATAGCAGCTATTTCTTACACTGTAACTTAGTGACCTTAATGGAGTTGTTGCCGCTGCCGAGGCAAAGAGCGCTAAATCTGAGCGAGTTGCATGTAACATCCTGATCCATCCTGTAGCCCGTTCGAGCAAGCAGTTCCAACAAACAGAGCAGCAGCCTGGCTTAAGTTATACACTTATCCCTCATAATACGGACGGAAAGGCTACAAGCGGCCGAAAATATGCGAGACAACACCGTTTCTGCGAGGCCATAGGTACCTGGGATATATGATGGTTTCAAGTCGAGTGTTTGTATAGGTGGGTGCATACAATGAACGTCCAACACGGTTGGAGAACGAAGTAAGAATCTAAGTACATACGTGAGACAAAGCTATACAATGAATATAACTGAAGAGATATTCTCGTATGCGATCATAGGATGAAAACGCCCCTTAAGCAAGTGGCTCGCGCGACTCCGTGGTGCACTAGTCATTTCTACTCTGATGTTATATATATTCACCAATCAGCCAATCAAAACTCCTCGTTCCGAGATAACTACTCTAGGCTAGGTAGATGTGCAATGAGCACTTGAATACACACTTCAATTTCTAAAATCCTATCTCTCTGCTAAGATTTCTACCCCTCGTCCAACGCCAAGCCCGATTTCAACATTCCGGACTAGCCTCTACATATATCCCCATCATGAGCTCCAAAGAAACAGTCCTAATCACAGGCTGCAGCGATGGCGGCATCGGCTCCGAATTAGCCATCGTCCTGCAACAGTCCGGATCCCACGTTTTCGCTACCGCCCGCGATCCCTCTAAGATGTCAAACCTCAGCGGTCTGTCCAACGTAACGCTACTGACGCTCGACGTCGTCAAGTCGGCCGATATCAAGGCGGCTGCCGAAGCGGTCTCGAAGGAAACCAGCAGAACTCTGAATTACCTCACCAATAATGCCGGGCGCAGCCATTTCATGCATATCCTAGATGAGGACCTAGATACTGTCAGGAATTTCTTTGAGATCAACTTCCTGGGACCCGTTGCTCTCACACAGGCCTTCGCACCCTTGCTTATCAAAGCCAAGGGGATGGCCGTGTATGTCACATCCATTTCTGGATATCTTAACATACCTTACATGGGTGGGCTTTTCCCTCCCCTTTCCTCCTACCCTTCAATACCTGGTCCTGGAAAGCTTACGCGCATACTTAAGGAACTTACTCGGCATCCAAGAGGTCCTTGGAAATCGTAGCCGAGACCCTGAGACTTGAGCTGGCCCCCTTCGGCGTTGACGTCCTAGAGGTTTGTTACCGGTGGTGTCAAAACGATGGGCCAGACATACTTTAAAGACTTCCAGCTGCCGCAGCAGTCCCTACACAAGAGCGTCGAGGATATCGTTGCCGTGAGGGCTCAGGGCAACGAAGGAATGCCCCGCATGGAAACTAGGGAGTACGCTGCTGCTGTGGTTGACGCGATTAAAAAGCGCACGACAGGCCGGTTCTGGTGCGGCAATAATGCCGATCAGATCAAGATGAGCACGACAGCAACAAGTATACCTCAGCCAGCCATAGTATATATTGCGACCTTTTCTTGCCGAATGTGCTAACCCGACGCAGGATGCTGGGGCAGTAATAAACACTGGGCTTGATAAACTACCTAGGAAAGTAATGCAGATAGATCGGACTCGGAAATATCCGTAAAAGGTAAGCGATATAGCAAGACGAGTATTCATTTATCGAGCTAGCATCTATGTTATGGGATACCTCTCGGATAGATACCAAAGTGCATATCAAAGGATAGATACCTAGTATATACTCTAATGCAAGCCATAGGCCGCCATGGCTTGGTGGATTTCAGATAGCCTATAACACTCTCTCAGGGAAGCTATCGACCTATCATCTTGAAGTGAGTTAAGCACTCGAATTGTATATCCCAGATTCGCCTTATGTCCTTACTTGCAGTTCCCGCGCGAGGTAGCATTGGGGCTGAGTAACCGTAGTCTGAAAACCGGATACGGCTACCTATCATCCAGGTGGTATTGTTTGTAAGTGGGCTGCCACGGGGTTTGATGCTGACAGAACGAAAAGCCTAGCCCGTTGTTGAATTCGGACTTGCCTGGTAGCGAGCCGTCTCGCGTTCGACTTCAAGTACGCCACCTGCATGGCATAATGTGATACTTCCCTAGAGGTAGGTATAAGAACTGCCACTTAATAGGAAAATCGCTCACATATACCTAGATGGCACGTGCAGCTATCCGAAACCATATTGTTGGTATGCCATTCATATACGCCGGTAGCTACGAGTAATCAATAAATATGTCGTGCACATGGCAATATGCAAGCGCCTTAGTCACATATAGGCTACGACGGTATGTGGCTTGCGTTAGAGATGTCATAGTATTAGTTACCCCAATAGATAAACGGCGTAAGCATCACCGATTGATAGCTATCCATGTGTATACTGAGCGTATATGTTCTGGTATATCCCCCGAAGACAAGCTCGTAGTTGTAAGAGTAAAGAGTAACCAACTTCCAACCTATTAGTTCTGAACATTCCATCGGTAGCTTTCACTATGCTCTTCTCTAAGTTCTATGACGTCCTTGAAGACCAGAGACTTCACCGTCTACTTTTCCTAATTCTAATTGGGATATATATCTACAACGAGCTTAGGTCATGGTGGCATGTAAGTGTGGAAGATCTTACTCCAGCTCCTATTACAGATCTAACTTGGTGAAATAGGTTTTGGGACGCCCATTGTACGTCAGGATTACAACGACACTTAGCGACTACGTCAGTGATTTCTATTTCCATTCTAAATGCCCAAGAATCCCGTGTATTGGTACCGGAAGCCAACTATTTCGTAGCGATCCGGAAAGTACTACAAGCCATGGGGATCAAATGCGCCGATCTTCATCGTATCCACGAAGAAGCAGATCGCCGAACTTAGCGAAGCAACATGTCTCTCTCAACGGGCTGTATACGCCGATGTAAGTCAAGTTTACTCCTACATTTCTACCGAATATACGGAATTCTAAACCAGGTACCTAACCTATATTACAGATGTTTGGGTTTAAGCACACGATGAATAAACTCGAGCACAACACTAGTAACCACAAGGTTATCAGAACGAGGCTATATAGCCGCATTCTCCAAGTCAATGGGCCCATCCACCTAGCTGCTCTGTATCCTCGCCTAGTTAATCAGTTCGATGCTAGCCTAGCGAAAGAACTTCAAGAGGGACGTATTCTGGACGGTAAGTACCCTCGAAGTTTTAACTGGTCTCTAAGTTGGCATTATCTTAACATGCGAAATAGGAAGTGTTTCCTTGCCTATTGCAGACACCGCTCGGCGACTAGTCTCCAAGCTCATGAGTCTTATGTTTTTTGGAGACTCCCTATGTAAGTGGGATGAACATACGGGATACCCTCCCTATCCTTAGCCAAGTAAGCTGACAAGCACCAATCCAGGTTCGGACGAGGAGTTCTCTTCCGCGCTCTTGCGTTATCCTCAGGATATGGTAAAGTGCATGGCGGCCTTTCAGGTAGTGCCATCATTCATGTCTCCGTATGTCGAAAACCACAGTTATCTTTTTACTTTCTATGTAATACGAATTGGGCAGTTCTAAACCGTCATTTCGTTAGGATCATCCATGCATTGCTTACCAACCGTGGAGAAGCTATGCACTTAATCCAGAGGAAGCTTGCCTATTGCATACGACCTGAAAACTCAAGCCAAACTGATTCAAAGCAAAGTCAACGCGTAAGTGTTCCCTTGTTAAGTGAAGAGGTGTATAATAACTGTATAATAACCATTGTTCGCACCAGCTCACCATCCTTCACAACATTATCACATTGGCAGATTCTAGCGATTATTGGAATCCAGACCTCCTCTCGCAGTCTCTTCTCGGAATTTGGTTTGCAGCTTCTCACCAGCCGTGGATGAATCTGCACTTCGTCTTATTAGAACTATGTACACGGAAGGAATGGCAGAACGCCCTGCGTCAAGAGATAGAACAATACGGTCCATTAGACTACAAGGGCCTGGAACAGTTACCCCTTTTGGATGGCTTCATAAAGGAGACGGTCCGATGTAATCCTCTAGATACGCGTATGGATACTCCTGCGGGACTCTCTCTGGACATTGAAATGTGCTGACCACCTGCATTACCAGTTGCAATTCGCAGAAAGGCACTAGAGCCTTATACCTTCTCCGACGGTTCCGTGTCTGTTCCTTCGGGCGCAACCGTCTGTGTATCGGCGCATGATCTTATGCATAATCCGCAGACATATGCTGAACCAGACGCTTTCAACCCTAATCGATATCTACCTCAAGAACCAAATGCCCAACAACGGAAATTCACCGAGGTCTCTGAGACGTACCCTATTTGGGGTTTTGGGTCACTTGCCTGGTAATTATCAAAACCGACTTGCTTACTCCTTGTATTCTGACCTGCTAACGCTCTTTATCACTATAGCCCTGGCCGGTTCCACGCGTCTCTGGCAATTAAAATAGCTATCTCACAGTTACTTTTGAAGTACGACTTGAGTCTTGAAAATGATAAAGCTAGGACGAAGTGGACTTGGGAAACGTTCACCATGCCGTACAAAAGCACTAAGATCATCTTGAAGGACCGAAGTTTGTAGATCCTTGATCTACATGATATTAGAAGTTTGTGTACCTCCCATCTGTTTATATGTCCACATAGGCAAAGATAGAATATACCCAGCAGTGCCCAGCCTTGAACTGGATAAATAAAGCTTTGATTTTGGCCTTCATGACTATCGATAACTCGCCTTAGAGGTTTATTGGCAATGACGTATCCATTCCGAGCGCCTTGAGGCCTCTAGAACCTTTTGTCTGTATGACATCTGCCCCGGCTTTAGGTGAGGTGGACCTGCGCGTCTTGTACTCCAATATATTCCGCCATCTTCGACGGTAGACTTTATGACTGAGCGGGCGTGTAGGTGTTGATTACATGTATGATGGTAATGTACATCCAAGACGGCGCTACTTCCGTATGATACTGATATAAACATACCAGCTTGGTGTTTAGGTATATATACATTGGCTAGTTGACTCCATTCATTGCGAGTGGGTTATGCGTCATGATTCTTTCTGAAATGTGGACAAATCTCAGCGCCCACGGTCATTCTCTTAGTTGTTACTTATCAATCCCGATTCCCAATAGCCTATCTGGATCAAATAGCCAGAGCAGTAAGTAGACGTCACTCTCATAGCGACAAACGAGTATGCTTAAAATCCCGAATCTCTCTCATGGTTCCCACCTGCCTATTCGGAAGATATCTAATGTAGAAATTTTACCCGTGCTATGCAATATGCAGTGTCTACAGGAGTAGTCACGCTTGACTAACAAGCCACGAAAGTAAATGTTGCATGTTACAGAAGAGCCATTGGCTGCCTCGCGAGGAGACGCTGGAGTTCTGTGTGAATGCGAACTTTTAACAATAGATAAACTTCCTCCTAGGTCGGCCTTCCCCATCCTATGAGAGGCAGAGAGAAACGGATCAAGGTACACTATTGTCACTATGAGAGCAAGCTACTGCCTGAATGACTAAAAGACGTCAGCGTTAGGCATATTGGTGAGTTTCGGGGTGAGATAGCTATTTTCCTCCACCATTGATCACCGAATTTCGACACCAAGCTTTTCCACCAAAGCCTTAGTGACCTTGTCATGAAGGTCATTAGTCTCTTTGTTCGTTAGGGTCCGTTCAAGGCTGCGGTAGTTGATCCGATAGCACATGCTCTTCCTTCCAGTTTTAGGGTGAGTAAACTGGTCTACCAGCTTAACATTTTCGACGTCATCTCCAGCTACACTGCGTACGATTTCCATCACGTCGTTCTCGTGAAAGTCGTGTACGTTAGCTTTGGTATTGCCTCCGGCCGCAGATGGCGTCCCTAGCCAGAACGATACGTCTTTAGCGCAGATGGGGTATTTAGAAAAGGGCACAAAACGTTTTAGAGAGCTTAGGTTGTCCGAAACGCCCTTAAATTGGCTCAGGAAACGTTCATCTTGTGACCAAAAGAGACGGATGTCTGGTATCTGAAATAGTAGCATGGCAATTCTTTCAAGGCCGATGCCGAAAGCCCAGCCCCGTTGCTCTGGGACGTGAGCATTGATGTACAGATCCTGTTTGACCAGACCGCAACCAAGGACTTCTAGCCAATCACCGCCGTAGTAGACCTCGAGCTCCCAGGAGGGACTTGTAAAAGGGAAGTATGCTTCAACCCATCGCATCTGGAGTGGTTCATCTACAAAGTTAGGGTCGGCCTTCAACGCGGCTGATTTGGCGCGAGTGAAGATCTCAACTACCATGAGTTCTAGAGATCTCATCAGATGGGTAGAGATAGTTTCGACCTCGAATGGAGAGTAATATTCCTCTTGCCGAGGATTTGTTTTTTCGTCGAACAGGGGCGTTGGGTATTCAACATCGATGTTGTGTTTCGGTAATTTTTCTACCTCCGACCACACAGCCGCCGGAATGTTTCCAAGGGTTACTTTAGCGCGATCCCACGACCGCGCGCCTTCCATTTGATGAAATATAGGGTAATGACTCTTATCAATTTCATCACGCCGGTAGACATCTGCACTGATTAAGTAACCCTCGCTTAGGTTCTCTCGGAACACGTCCGCTTGATGGGCGCTCGTGTGCGTTCGTAGTAGGGTGTTTTCGTTGATATAATATGTGTCTGACTTAGCTCGTCCGGGGTGGTTTTTTGGGAACCCTAGCGAATCAAAGTTCTGATGGGTTGTAACGACGGGGTCGAACTCATTGTAATACTTGAAAGTCGGAGCCGGGAATACGGACTCGATGATTTGTCGGGTTATGGAGATGGGATGGTCTTTTTGAAGGTGCAATCGGCGGGGTATTTTGTCGATGACATTTTGGGGTACATTGAACCAAGTGTCCTTCTTGTATGTATTGCCATTGATTGTGATAGAGGTAGTCTTGGTTCGGTATTGAAGAAACGAGATAGCTGAGGAACAAAAGTGTTAGGAGAGCTGAGCTTCGTAAGCGAATAAAGCTCACCACAAACCTCCCGACAGGGCTCTTTGACGATTTATTCGTTGTAAAGCATTGGAAAAAGTATTAGGGATGCAGCAATTTACGCCGCCGGGGATTGCGCTAGCTACCCTTCTTGCTTGAAGACATGATGTAGTGAGCCGATTTGTCCACATTGTTGTTGGTGGAGGGGCAGTTGAATGTTGTAGCCTAAAAGCTAAGAGATTTTCGAAAAAAAAAAAAAAAAAAAAAAAAAAAAAAAAAAAAAAAAAAATTAATAAAAAAAAAAAAAAAAAAAAAAAAAAAAAAAAAAAAAAAATAGGAAGAATACGATCG